TGCAAAAATTATAATTAGTATGTGTACTTAATTTTTTATTTTATTCCACATTTATATACTTTGGAATATTATTTCATTGTAATAATAATAAAAATCATTTTATTTCAACACATAAATTACACAAAATCAAACAATAATGTTTTAGCACTAAACTTCTGGGTTGGCGATTTGTAATAAAACACTTTACCACTTGCACTAATTATTTTACTTTCACGATCCAACACTCACTTTAATTTGCAATCACTTTTTCTTTTTCCTAATTCTACAAATGTTTATTAAGAACTGAGCAATATTAGGACAGTGTCACATTTTTATAACTACCCGAGACAATCAATTGCCAGTTAAAATAGTTCAATAACAGAATCAACAAAATCACTTTATTTAATTAGCTTAATATTTTTTTAATCTTTACAAAATAATATTTATTATATATTAATGGAATATATACCCGATATTCATTTGTTCATTAACATTATTATAGGCCAACAGAATATTGCCATCAATGCCATCGTATTTATATAAATCAAATTAAAAAATTATTATTTGATACATTATTATTGCCTCTTTAATTCATTTATTTTAATTTATTAAAATTAAAAGAAGAAGAGTAAATTAAAAGATGTAAAATATGATGACTATGCTAACCAATGTCTAAAATGTCATTCATTGGTTCATCGATATATGTATTTTATCGATTACGTTCAAGCACTAGAAATATTGTATTGTGTATCAGTGTTTATAATAATGTAATAAAATCTTTGTGTGCGTTATGCGTCTTTTGGTTGAACTAGTTTTCATACATTTGTATTTTATTTCAGGTCCAGTCTCTAATTCGTTCATGTATATTACTTAAGCCACAAAAAAAATATGATTTCACAAATCACAATAGAAACATAAATAAAGGTATATTTCACCAACCATTTAGCACACAATATATATTTGATTTGATAAATCGAAAATTTTAGTTAATTTTAGCAACCGGATGATAGAAGAATTAAATTAATTATTCTGCTTTTGTAATTGTAATGTTGACGCAGCTGTAGAAACTCTCAGTGAAAGTGGGATTAAGTTCGGATCCCCGTCACAGAAAGATATATTGTGGACCATCTCAGGGTATCATTTAAGTTGTCTTTGCAGAAATGGCAGTTTATAAGTCAAAAAGGTGTCCAATAAGCTCCTTGTAAATTATTGCGACTAAATAGGCAATGTAATACTTACATGGAAATCAACATTACAGCTTACATTTAAATTCATCAAAAATGAAAAGTACTTACTCAAAGTTAGCTTTTTCATCTAATAAATCATGTAAATTTGTCTTTATATTCAATAGTTTGTTTTTATAATAACGGTATTTCTTCGAGATTGCGTTCTTCATCTTATTAATCTGGCCAAAAAATATTTTCATTTTTGGCTCTATTCAACATACTCTTATGATTAAAGACATGCCAAATAATATGAGAAATACCCATAAAATAAATGAATTATAATTTTAATCTTATTAGATAGCACAAATAGCGTAGTAGCAAATGTTTTATTATATGTATATATAATATATATTTATTCAATTATTTATATTTGAGTAATTGCACTTTAGCCTGCTTTTTAATACTATCTCTCCAGCTTACTTAGGTTGACTTGAAGAGATCTCTTCTAGAGATAAGTCCACCTTTGCTAACTAATTTTATTGTTTGTTAATCTCTGTATTTTACATATAAGTGCAATAAAGAATAATATATATATATAGCGACATTTGTCATTTTTACCACCAAATGTAATTAAACAATTGAAAAATCAATTCAACATGGGTGATTAAGAACGGGACGCCCCATATTCGCCTACAAACATGTAATTACGTCCTAAGCATTCAGCCTTTGAGATCTTTGCTTTGTTCAAACAGCAATGGCTTCCCTCTTTATTATTATTTCAGTCGAAAACATTCCAACAGACGTCTCGATCCCCAACGTTCGCAGTAACACAATACGTATTATTTTTGGAGCTCTCCCCATTTGTATTTCAATATTAACTAAATTGTTTTTGGGTCCGTTTCTTATGTACCTATGGCGTAAATTATTTACTTTCTCTTGGGAAGCTTGTAAAATCTAATTATATTAACACGCTTTTATTAACTTAACCTCTAACTAGCAAACTTTTTAGTTCTATCCAAAATCTCTAAAGTGATTTTATACTATTATATTGCATACAAATCTTACGAGTACAACTACCTCGGTGGGTTAGTGGCTAACATGTACGGCTGCAAACCCAGAGGTCATAGGTTCGAGTCCTGCGTCAGGCCAAATTTAGTTATTACGTTTTTCTGTTAAGCAATTCTCAGTAGGTTTAGTAACAGTCTGAAGTTGGGAAGTTGGCGGTGTTACACCCCCGTGCGTGGTTCTGCGCCGGTAGTGTGAAGTGTAGTCCCATCGGATTTTGAGTGAAGAGGAATAGACAATGGCGCTTGTGTCCGTGAACACTTAACTATACATATAATAAAATTCTATGAGTCGAATCTGTACATTAAATACTTTTTAGAAAATCTTATTGAAATAAACATTATTGTCGATACAGAGGCGGAATCTATAGTTTTTAGAATTTTTGTCTGTCTGTTACCGCATCATAGATATGGCCCGGATAATCAGGTATGGTCATAGCTGATTATCCGGGTCAACATATAGGATACTTTTTACCGTGGAAAAATATCTCATTTCTGAGAAAAATACAAAAACTGTAATTATACTAATATGTAAAACCTAAGAATTTGGTTTTTGGTCATCTGAACGCGGGCGGAGCCGCGGGCAATGCTAATGCTCTATATTATTACCTCTATCTGCTCTTAGCTAGTAGCTAGTCTCAGTGAGATTGGCCGCCGGGGCCGAAGTCAGTTAGGTCATATAGTTAAGTATATTTGCAATTTCGCTGTACTTTCTTTTTTTTGTAGATACCTAAGGAATTAAAACATTAAATAACTTGTTTTAAAATAATTAGTATTTATGTTTTATTGAGATCTTATGGCTGTTTGGTATAAACCTCAACCATACAAATGCCGTACAGACATATTATTAGATACATATAGATAGGTCAGGGTCTTGCAAAGTTTTTATTAATGTTACCCTAGTTGGTTTCAAAAACAACTTATATTTCTGAGAAAACACATAAGTAATTCTAATATTCGAAAGCTATTTGATAAATGCGAGTTATATTCTCGAAAAAGATCAAAAAAATATTAAAAACCGGATTTTTTCTTCTTAACATTGCTCTACTAGAATTTAGAAGTAGGTAATAGTTCATTTGAAAACTTAATTTGTAAAAGCTGGAGCGTATGTAGATAGCTACTTATGAGATAACTAATTGGGCTACTACATTATTGGACGGCTAAATTATTGGGTGGTGAGTAATGGCACATCCTAAAAATTATATAATATAATTTACCACATATATATTAACATACATAAACATATATATATATATATATATATATATATATATATATATATATATAATATATCCGTGCATCAAACATCACGATGCGCATATAAATTTTATTAATGCCTGCATGTAATTGCAAATTCTAAAGGCATTTTACTGTAACAAGGAAGCTATCATCATAGAACGTCTTAAATACGATTAAAATCAACTTTACTTCCATTAGAAATCAGCCTCAAAGCAGCAAGATGAGAGATTATTCTGTTATAGGTAATTGATTCATTTGCTTCACAGCAGCCTCAAAGAAAAAGTTAGGTAAGCCGACTTTATCTTACAACTTAAAATTACGTTATTATGGATTGCGTAGATTGCAACAAATAATGTAATGGGGATAGACGTGCCAGCCGATGCAAGGTAAATCTAATATATTTCGATACGTAAAATACATCACAAATTGATGTATAATATTTTAACTATATTTAGAGTTCATACCTAATCATATTTACCTATTAGATATTCATAACTTAAAATATTGTCGGCTATATTATATCTATTCTAAATGAAAACCCCCTTTTAGTTATTTTTTACATTTTAGTGCCTGGAAGTCGGTTTTTATTATTTTTTTAAAGTTTTTATTTTTCCATTTTTAGTGTAGACATAATAAGCAGGTTATTTGTAAGAAGAAAGTTTTTTAATAACATATTCGATTAAGCCATTTATTTAAAAATAATTAATTGTTGATTTTTTAAAAACCGCTGGACCGATTTCGATAAAATTTAAATGGGACCACCTGGGAATCATACCCTTAAAAATAAAAAATAAATCCAAACCCGTTCAGGCGTCTTCGAGTAATCGGTGAACATACATAAAAAAAACAGGCCAAGTGCGAGTCGGACTTACGCACGAAAGGTTCCGTACGATTATCTATAAAAATGACAATAAAAATCATGTTTGTTGTTTGGGAGCCCCCCCTTAAATACTTGTTTTATTTTAATTTAATTATTTATTTTTAAAGTGAATATTTAACTAAATATTCTGTGAATATTTCAAGCGTCTACCTGTAGCCATTATCAATATCGAGCAAAAACGAGCAAAATAATCACGTTTGTGGTATGGGGGCACCCTTAAATATTTATTTTATTGTGTTATTATAGCGGCAACAGAAATACATCAAAAATTTCAACTAACTCACTGTCAACTGTTCAAATCACGGTTCCTCAGATACAACCTGGTGACAGACGGACAGACGGACGGACAGCAGAGTCTTAGTAATAGGGTCGCGTTTTACCCTTTGGGTACGGGACCCTAAAAACCTTACACTTTGTAAGTTATAAAAACGAGTATACATAACTTCAGCAATAAAATCATTAAATTTAATTTTAATGGGGATCATAGTATTTTTTAACTTGTCTAATATTAAAGACATACAAGTTTTTATTAATAATAATAATAATGACATAAAAATTCAATCACTACTTAGATAATAAATATAAAGACCAGAAGGAATGTTGAAAGTGAAAAAAGTGTTAATGTACATTAAAATTTATTACATCTACAGCATAAAATTATCCTAAAAATTACTTAGGTTTAGCTTCTATTTTTGTCACTTTAGTAGGATCATATTTATAAGTTTTTTGCAAAGGTCCCTGTCCAGCTCTTGTAAAAATCATCTCATCTACTCTTTGTCTGTCTGCCAAGTCCCTAGATAATTTCATATTTGTCCATGATTCCTTAGCACCTTCAACAAATCCTTTCTTCTTAATTGGGAGATTTTCTGCTTTATGTTTAATCAATTTTGGGATCTTAAAATAATCCCTTATAGCCGGTATCTTAAGAAAAGATACTTGAGCAAGTGAAATGAAATTAGTTGAACACCAATATACAAGAATAGCTCCAGGGAAGTTTATAGTGAATGGAATCATTACTAATGGGATTGCTCTAAGGAAATATCTCATAAGCTGCATATTTTGAGCATCAAGGCGTCCACCATCTACACCAACCTCAATTGTTGCCCACATTGTGGCACTTGTTATAAGGGGTAAAATAAAAAACTGATCAGGTACAGTCAAATCTGTAAACCACCATAAACCACCATGCATCATACTTTCTACAGGACAATTAGCCATACCTCTTAAACCCATAAAAAATGAAATAAATAATGGTGCTTGAGCTAATGGTACAAGCACATTTTTTAAAGGATTTAAATTTTTCTCTTTCATAAATATCATCATTTCTTGTGCGTATCTTGCAGCTTCCAACTGATTTCCTGTCTGTCGGGCCTGTGTCATTTTTGATTGAATTAATTGAATTTCAGGTAAATTATTATTCATAACAGCAGTATTTCTTTGAGACATTATAACAAGGGGGAACATCAATACTCTGACAACTATAGTACCAATCATTATAGCCCCCCACCAAGGTACATCAAGAGAAATATGTAAATATTCTAAACAATTCTGTACAATTCCAACTGGACCCCATCCTCCAAGACCAAGGCTAGCAAATGTAGGTTCACCGTTAGCAGCTATGGACTGAACAGCTTCTGTTATGTCACCAATTGTCGAAGGATCTGGTACTGGTGGCGGTTCTGGAATATTATCTATAGGTATTGAAGGTTTTGCAATATCAGCAGTTGAAGCAAATCGTACTGATCCAGCAGATGAATAGAAATAATAAACTCTGGCTTTCCTAACCTCAATGTTCTTTTCGCAGAACAAACTGATAACGCCACTCCGGCGACCATGTCGGCTGAGTAATTTAAACATTCTGATTTAATATATCACTTCCTTCCTTCAATCAAATAATCCTGTAATCCTGTAATTATATAAAATACCCAGAAAACACAAGTTATTTAAAGTAACATTTTTGACACTGACATTGACATCTACAGATCTAATAATACACATACAATATGTTCTCAGTTCTTCATATTTTTTGAAACTATTTCCTATGCACAAACACTATTATACAATCTTTATTTAAAGTGAATATATTAAATTTGGAAATTGTTATTTTGTTAGTTTAATTATATTTTTATTCCCATTAAAAAAACGATTACTTTTTTGTACTGCCTAGCACGTGCACCTTTACAAATGTTAATTGTTAATTTAACTTTCAATTTTCAAACGTCATTGTCAATTTAAACAACAATGTGATTGTGATCAAAGTTTTTGATTTAAAGAAATAAAGATTTACATAAAAATAATATCAACATGGCACATATATCTTATCCGTTTAAAAAAACTAATAAAGCAGTTTTCCAAAAACCAGCATCTGTTTCAACAGAAGATGCAATTTATTGGAAGAAACTAGGAGTAAATAATTCATATTATATTATTATTCTTTATATTACCCGATCTACTCAACTGAAAATAAACTAAATATTTTTACTATTGCAGCTTCCTGTTCTAGTAAAAGAATTTGGTGCCATTGATTACCTAGACTTTAGTCCTGTGGAACCTTATTATTTTGCAGCCACATGCTCTGTTAGGATTCAGGTAATATTCATTTATTATTAAAGTAACCTTTAGTATTTATTATGAAACTAATTTAATTAAACTTAAATAATTTTATTTTAATATATTTAATTCTAATATATTTGTTTTCTAAAGATGTAATAATATGATTTCAGATCTATGACCCTATTACAAAAGTGGTATCAAAAAATATATCTAAATTTGTAGAAGCGGCATATGGTGGATGCTTTCGAAGGGATGGAAGGCTCCTAGTAGCTGGTAGTGAAGAAGCAGCAGTAAAGTTGTTTGATGTTCAATCTAAAAATGTGCTTAGAGTATTTACTGGCCATACAGGACCTGTAAGTTTAAGAAAGAGTTACAATTAAACTGATAAATTTGTATTTAAAATGTTCAATGAAAATAAAATATTTTTTCTGTAGTGACAATATATTTATATACAGTGTATTTTTATAACATTGATATGGAGATATAATGTTTAGTATAGTAAATTATATTTTTTTTAAACAACATTTTTATTAATAACTTCCAGCTAAAGGTTCCACTTAAACTATTAGAATAATGTTTTTTTATTATTTTCAGGTGCATAGAACATTTTTCTCTAAAGATCAGGTTAAAGTTCTCAGTTTTTCTGATGATAAATCAGTCTCCTTATGGGATATTGCTACAGAACAAAAAATTGCAAATTTTGCAGATCACACAGATTATATTAGAGCAGGTGCTCCAAGTCCTATATCACCTGACATTATCTTATCTGGTAGTTATGATCATACAGTCAAATTATATGACTGTAGATCAAACGAAACTGTTTTAACTGTAAACCATGGCAGCCCAGTGGAATCCACAATATTCCTCCCATCGGGAGGTATTTTTCTCAGTGCAGGTGGAACAGAAATCAAAGTTTGGGACATTTTTAATGGTGGAAAGCTATTAGCAAATATATCACAACATCATAAAACTGTAACTACACTTAAATTGGCCAGCAATAACAGCAGACTTATGTCAGCTTCATTAGATAGACATGTTAAAATATATGACTTAGCCACTTTCAAAGTGGTACACAATATTGATTTTCCAAATGCGATACTAAGTATGGCTATTTCTGAGAATGATGATGTTTTAGCTGTTGGCATGATTGATGGAGTAATTTCAATAAGAAAAAGAGAACAACATGATTCTCATTTAGAGGAAAAACGAGGCCTATTCAAATTTGCACCTGATCACATAGAAGCTAACACAGTAGATAATGTTGTAACAAATCAAAAATCAAGTAAAGGACCTGAATTTGAAAATTTTTTAAGGAAAATGGAATTCAGTAAAGCATTATCTGCAGTATTAAAGAAATTTGTAGCAACGAAGCATCCAGAGAAAACAGTTGCTCTTCTGCAAGAACTGTTAAGAAGAAAGACCTTACATATAGCAATTAATGGCTTACAAGAAAAAGATATAGGAGCATTGTTAAAGTTTTTCAAAAAAAATCTTGGTGAAACAAGATTTACTAGAACAATTATTGATGCAGCAAATGTATTTGTTGATGTTTTTGAAAACCAAATAAAACTGTTTTCTGAACAAAATTTATGGCTTTATACATACTTGCAAGAGGAGATTAAAGATGAAATTGAAGTTTGCAAACAAGTGAGTGAACTAGAGGGAGCGATTAATTTACTTTTTGCTGGAGCTCAAGTTGGTTTAAATTTAGAATCTATCGAGTTGACTGACTCCTTAGCACCATCATCTAAGGCACAAAAAGATATTGTTATCGATGTTTAAATAAAACAGTTTAATTCATTATTGAAGTTTTATTCTACAACTGGAGTATAATATTAGGTATTTAATAAATAAAATTCATTTATAATAAAGATATGGAAAATATGTATGTATATCAAAAGGTATTCAATTTACTAATGAATTTTAATTCTATAATACCTTAACAACAAGGGAATTTTAGTCCTGCAATAAAATTACGAAAAAATATGGCACTCCATTACACAATTGTATAACTTTGATTATATTCCTAAAAAATAATAATTAGGTTTTTTTTTAATCTTTTTTTTTAAATAAAGCCTATACACGAGTTATATGTTTTTAAAGTCGTGCACATTGTCGCATGATTTTATTACCTAAGCTTAATCGAAATTAAAAATGCTAAAATTATTTTAATCTGTACTTGTTTATTACTTGGCAAACGGTGTTTCATTTTTGACAAATGACATTTTGCTTTTAATCTGTGAACAAATAATGTGATTTGTGATTGTGGATGTGAAGTACATAACTTGCATAAGATTTAAGTGCTTTTTATGCAATAAAATGACTCTTTTGCCCAAAACACATTATAAAAATGGATAAAACGTAACTAAAAAGTTAATAGTTAAGTGATTTTACTTTAATTTGCTGGTAAAATATTTCGTTACCTGCATCAGTAATTTGTAAGTTAACTTAAAAGGTTTCATGTTTTTCATTTCTTTTTAATTAATTTTACTAATAAATATTAATCATTTGAATATCATGACATTTGATTAATATAAAAAAACAAAAAAGACGACTCTGCATAAAAAACTTTTTTGTCAAAAAGTATAAAAATATTAAATTTATACGTATTTTTGTCAAGTATGTTTATATTTTTATTGAAATTTTAGAATATATTTGCAAAATAAATTTTTAACCATGGACGAGAGAAGGGTTGCAGATTATTTTGTAGTGGCTGGTTTGCCTGAACAACCAGAAATGCTTGACGATTCTGATTCTGGCCATTTAAAAGGATATAGTACAAAAGCTCCAATTACGGACATTGGTAAGTAACTTTTTAAGAGTGTTTTTAAAGATTAAACCATAAAGTAATTATTTTTTTTAAATGTAAAAAAATGGTTGTCAATTCTAAAATTATTTTTATTTAGGTTCTTGTTAAGTGCATATAATTTTTTTGATTATTCACAAAATTTATAATGAAACATGTATTTTTATTAAAGAATAATTAGTTAAATGAATTAGGATGTAGTTAATTAGTTAGATGTGACATGTATAATTTGTCCTCTAGGTCACAATTGGTTTGTGGATACCCGAGCTGTTTAATGATTCTATTCATGACATTTCATTGTTTTGCATAATAATGTTCTTATAAATAAAAATTAAGGTTACATATGCGGAACTTATACTTATGACATTAAATAAATTATATTATCTAAAGTAAAATCTTATTATCTATACATATAATAAAACTGTAGAGATTGAACATCTGTTCATAGTAAAAAAATGGTAAAAACCGAGTCAGGGGGATGTAAGAAGAGAAATAGAACAAATCCAGATTTTTTACATTTTTTTGTTTCTCTGTCTGTTTGTATGGGCTAATCTCCGAAACTGTTGAACCGATTTAAATGAAATTTTGCATGGTGGTACCTTATATCCCTGGTCAACATTTTAAATACTTTTAATCCCGGAAAATTAAAGAGTTCCCATGGGATAGTTAAACAACTATAGTAACTTATACATCAGAATAACAAATAGGCTAATTTTATCCCAGAAAAACGTAAGGTTCCCATGTGATAGATTTATTTTTGAGAGGGTGAGCTGCTAGTATATTGGATATTATATAATACCAAAGATACTCTAACATATTTTATATAAAAAAAATTTAAAAGAAAATCATTAATTTTCTTTAAAATATAGCTACTTTTGGTAAATAATGTTCAAACATAATCTTACCATTCAAAAGGTTCGAAATAGTAGTTAATTATTATATCACTACTAATAGTTAATCATTCAAAAGGAATGTGTATTTATAATGACCAGTGGCTATATCACTTACATCTAGTAAAATGATACTCTTGAATGTTACAAACACATTTAATTAACCACAATCTAATAAAATAAGTGAAATATAAAATTTATTTTTGTAATTATTTATTCTCAAAGAATCTAAATAATTATGAATATTTTAATTTTAAACTTATTTTCTTAAAATATTCTAATAATAACTTACTTTTCTGACTTATACATTTGTATAAAGAATTGATGTTATTTATAGCTTATGCATATTATGTGCTCTGCAACTTGCAACGATTTGAACTCATATAATAATTCCTTTTCTATCCTCATCCTCATCTAAAAGTAGCCTACCTCACTCTTATCAAAATTCCCTACCCACTGACCAGCAGTGAAAAATCTATCAAAATGCTTTAGCCATTCTTTTAGACATTACATTATACAAACAAACAGACAGATGACCAGAAAAGGGTATTTAGTGTCATACAAATTAAAGTAAGACAATGTCAGACATAATTAAAAGTAATTTAGGTTGTTTGAAAATATAAGTAAAGCTCAGGTCTCATACCTTCTAAGATTTTCATTTGAAAATTTTATTTTCGACATGAGTAGGCTAAAGGAAAAACATTGTAGAGAGAACCTGAAATCTTAAGGAAAGTAACTAATTTTTAAATGACACTAAATCCATCTACATTTATTTGGCCAGTGAGATGAAGCATAGGTCTTGAAACCCAAGGGGTTGAATTATTTAATATTCTTATTATTTACTTCAATATTAATAATAAGTATAAAGAAAAAAAATGCAGATATTTTAATATTCCAACTGATCAAAAGCTCTCATCAAATAAATAAAACAAGTTTTTTTATAACCTTTCTATAGAAAACCAGGTCATTAGGAGCTTGATAGAAACTTGTATTAAATGATTGTGATTATAGTTGTATATAGATATTTTTTAATGAACAGCTTATCTTATCAGATTATGAAGAATACATGATTTTTTTCCATAGGCTTGTATGTTCTGTCTGTGTACTTAATAGTAGTCTTTAAATTTGCATATAAGCTAGCCTAATGTGTTTTTATATGTTATTGTTGATAGCTACTATCTAAGCAGTTTTTATAAGTTTGCAAATTTCTAAGTGTTTTCTTTACTAATTTTTTTTAATACTTTGAATATATAGGACTAAATATTACCTAGCAACTTATCGGTACATGGATTTTGTGCGCAACTTCATGGGTTTTAATTTTTGGCGTGGACCCTATCCTTTTTCTTAAATAAAAGTAGCCTAAGTTATTTTTTATAACATCAGCTATCTGCCAATGAAAGTCCCGTCAAATTGATCCAGCCGTTTCGGACACTAGCTGGAATAAACAGACAGATAATTTTTTTTTTATTTAAGTCCCTTAAATACTTTCATATGTATTTAGTAAAAAGCTGTTATTTTGACATTACAAACAGACATTCAATTTTATTTATCTGTATAGATTACTTAATTAGTTTTTCTTAACCTAGTTAAAATAACATCCACAATAGAAGTTATATACCTTATCAATCTATCTACCCATATTGCGTATTGATGGGGAAAATTTTAATATTAAATTCATGACTATAAGTAATGAATAGTGAGATGGTCTCTGTCGTTGTAGTTTATGCTGAATTGTAATGATAAACTATAACTTATCAAAAAAATTAACGATCTAGCCTCGCTCGCGCCTTCAAATTTTTGTTACATTTAGTAGGCGGTATTTGGCGGTGTCAAGAAATATCGAAAGTGATTTGATATTAATTTTTGACTAAGTTCTGCTTTCGGCTCCACATACGCGTGTACCTATTTCTATACAGCTGCAACCACGAATCACGACCTCCACTTTTTATAGGAAAGCATGAAGCGAAAAATTACTCTGTTAACATTTTAGTTCAGATTATTACCCATACAAATGAAATATCAAATAAGTTCTATTAAAATTTATACATATATCGGTATAATACTATTAAAATAGACATCCAAAACTTTTGACAACCTTTCTTGATTTGAATGTGAATCTTTATTAAAATTTCGTCTCAATACCTCTTAACTCTTGCCCAAATTTAAATCTTTATATATATAATTCTTCTGTGAGTGTGTATGTCACTGAACTTCTCTCAAACGACTGGACCGATTTTGATGAAATTTTTTGTGTGTGTTCAAAGGGATCTGGGAATGGTTTAGATTCACAATTTGAATAATAATTTTCATCAAAAAAATTATTAAAAAAAGTTTGAAATTTTCAAATTAAAGACGTGTAGACAGGACAACGTCTGTCGGGTCCGCTAGTAATAATATATAATAATACTTAACATATTTGTCCCAATACTGTTTAGTTTGGTACTATAGATTTGGTAACAAGTGGTGTACCGAATAATGTAAGTAGGTTTTAATGGAAGTCGATTAATAAATAATCCTTTAATTGTGTCTAGGGCGCTAGGGGGCCTTGATTCTCGGCGGATGGATCAGACTCAAAAAGGAGATAAAAAAGTTGTGTGTCCAGTTTACAGTTGCCAGTTTGAACACCTACCAGTTTGCGTCATGAACTGTAAAACTTATCGGCTATTACCGCGATTTAAATATATTTTTTTTGCTATGTTATCAATATTATCGTTGTATAGTTTATTATTTAGTTTTTTTTTTCTTATATCCTTAACAAGGCTTAGGTATTAAAAACGTATGTATTATTTAGTAATTGAATGTATGTATTTATAGTTTTATCAAATGAAAATACGTCTCCTATAAATTTTCTTCTAAATATTGTCTATATCAAGGTCTTATTCATTTTGACGTGTGATAATTATATAATATACACCTTGTTTATTGAATTTTTGGCCACTTGTTTGTTTTTTTGTCGGTCACTTTTACTACTCTACTACGAGTATAATATATTTTTGCGTATTTAATTACTAATTTTCATACAATGGTTAGATAACAATTTGTTATTCTACAGTATTGTAACGTCATTTGTTGCCCACACAGTGTTAGTCTTCTATTTTCATCAGATAATCCTATCAACAATGTGAAACCATTACGTAATCCATGTAACTGCATTATTTTAAATGCTTTAGTAATGTTACTGTGGAAGAATAGGGCATTTGTAACAAAAATGTAGAGCACTGCAGAAATTTTGCCTTTACGCATAATAGCGTTGAAATAAAATGCAATTTTTACCAAAAACTACACACACAAACACACACACACACACACACACACACACACACACACACACACACACACACACATATATATATATATATATGGGTGATTCTTCAAAATTTGGTTAACTTGGTGTTAGCAGCAATTTTCACATATTTATATCTATTTTATTGAATATTTGCAACTACTAAGCAATAGTATAAAGTTCATGTAATTTGGTCACTCACTTTGATTTATATCACAATATTTTTTATTTCCCAAAAATCGCTTCTTTCTACTCCAAATATCAGGCCCTAGCCATGTAAGATCTCCCAAATTTAGCAAGTATTTCATTGTTATTGTAATTCTCTAAATCATATTTGATTTAACTCGACTTAAACACGTTTACTATTACATTATTAACCTAGTCATTGCAATTTTATGTTTAATAATAATAACTTTTATCATATTATTTCAAGTTAAAAAGTGTAAGCGTTAAAAAATATCAGTCCCTAGCTATTTGCGAAATTCGAAAATACGCGGCATCTAAGCTTATGGTGTTTTTCAAAACTTACTCAAGCGAAAGCATCGATGTGAAGTTAAATGTAAACACGACCAATGCCGCATCAGCTATTTAGTTTTTACCGCAGTCGCCGACTTTGTTATGGAAAACACGTACTGTGCCAGTCAAACTCTCAGTCCCTAGGTAAGTCGTTTCAAAGATAGTTAATTAATAATTGATCTCATTACTTATTGTAAATTTGAGCTTTGTCTGCCTTGGTTATTTTGATCACCTGCTGGTTGTTATTTTATTTTAAAAAAATAGGTTATTTTTGATTTTGCTTTGATTCGTCAGTCCCTAGACCGTCAGGCCCTCGTCGTAAAAGTGACTAGGGCCTGATGGCACACCTAGGGACTGACGGCCATACTGCGTGATCCATGGTTTTAATAATAAAATATATGTATTTGTTGTAGAATATGGCACCTAAAAAGAAAACATTACTTTCCAAAGGAGAACTCGCCAAACAAAAGTGTGAACAGGCAAAGAAACGTTTGGAAAAAATTAAAAGGACCCTATTTTGCTAGCAGAGTACAAAGAAAAAGAACGACATAAATATCCAAGGAAAAAGAAAAAGGACAAAGGAAATTTGTCAAGGACATGACACCGCGTAAGCATAGAAGAACCACGAAACAGAAGACTGAAACGTAAAATGACGAAAAATAAGAAAGCAAAAAGCCATGGCTAACGAGCCTAATCAAAAAGCTGAATTGATAAATGGCACATAATTTCAAATAAATGAGAATGATATCGCTGACGTGCCTTACGAAGAATGTTTTAGAATAACTGCCAGTTTCTAACCTAATAAGGTGGAACCGTGTTTCACAGATTTAAGAAACATGTTGTCGCTTACGAAAAGTAGAACAAATAAATAGTGATGTGATAGTATTTGTGATTAATTAGAGAAAGAGTGATTATTACGTTCAAATTATAATTTTGTTACTTAGAAAGCTAATTTTTAAAGTATTGTTAATTATTTAAAGATTTTTAATTTGTAAGTACTAAACTCAAAGTACAGTTAATAAAAGAAAGGCTATGATTGTAACTTTTCAGTTTACTCAGATTTTATAAATTTTGTTTACTGAAGAGATAAGTAGGTAATAATAAGTTTCACTGATATAAAAAATAGCTTGTCAAGGTAACATAAAAATTGATTGTCTACTTCAGTACATTGAATATTTTGAGTATGATACTAAATTTTAAGATTGTAGGAAGACAATTCTACTTGTTATATAAAATATCTTATATTTTGACTGTTGTTACAATAATTAATAATAATATGTAAGTTATTTTATTTTGTTAAAGTTAATTTTGCTATAAAAAATGTGATTAAGCACATTAACCGTCTTTGGCGTCAGTCCCCTATCATGTCTCGTCAGTCCCTAGATAACTGATTTCAAAAAAACTTGAATTTCTCTTAAAATACATTGTAAAGTGACTGGCCCTTTTAGATGCAACAAAGTAAATATTATATCCACAGTATAGAATCAGAAATTTACTGATAACCATCTAAAAAGACCTTTGTCAAAGTTAGGCCATAAGTTTAACCAAATTTTGAAGAACCACCCATATATATATATATATATATATATATATATATATATATATATATATATATATATATATATTGATACTCTATTTAAATATGAACACACAAACTTAGCCCATTTAATGTAAATAAAATTACGCCGAAATATTCCTATCGTTTTTGTACATACGCCAAGAAAATAGCTCTTAAGAATACAAATAGTTATATCTAAAGAAGTGAGATTAATTTGGTATAATATGAATCTACTTAAATAATTTTATATTTTAATTGTTCTAAATATAACAATAAGTCCTCACATTGGTGATAAAGTTCAACAAAGGTACAATATCGATTGACCCTCACACTGATTCATATTTATTATCATTGATCATTTATCTGTCTCTTGAATGAATCTTAGATGACATTGTGTTACTGGAGACGTTGCTATATACATATTATTTTTTGTAAGTTTTATGTTATATACGTGCAGTTATATATATATATATATATATATATATATATATATATATATATATATACCTATATATATATTGTATGTTTAAGAATTGTCGTAGTAAGGAATGTCCATTTCGGGTCAAAATATTTTTTTGTAAATTACCTAAAGTGATGAAACATGTAAGTAATTTATTTTTTTCTATTGAATATGTGGCTAAAATAGGTATGACCAAAAACTTTTTAAGAAATAATCATCACAAAAGAAAATAAACTAAGTAGCGATAATAAAATAAACCTTTTCAATCTCAATATTATTTTAAGTTATTTTGAGTCTACGCATAACGACGACGACTCCTTCATTCGCGGGTAAAAATAAAGTACAAATCAAACGTTTATATTTAGAAATATTGTTAAGCATTTATTTTCCATACATTTACTCGTACTGCAGGTCTATTCTATTGCACAAAAACCCGCATATGTAACTAAATCTTCAATAATTTCATATATGTACATACCTAAGTATTTGAAACCGTATAAATAATGGAAATTGTTTTTATCAACGGGAAACCCTCGCCATTCTTTATTCGTTTGTAGGCACAAATTGTAACATATCACTGACCTTTTAAATGTACTTAACAGTATAGAAATATGTGCATATGATTACATCCCGTACCTAATGTTTTAGTTTAAACGCTGATTAATTAGTAACAGGCAGTGGTAGTCCAGTGGTAACGCGCTTGGGAAACCGAGTGAAGCGGATTCAAATCCCGGGTCGCGCACATCTGATATTTTCATGTGTGAATCATTTTGCTAACATGATTACCACTTGCCTTATAGTGAAGGAAAACATCGTGAGGAAACTCATGTCTGAGACAACCTAGCAATTTTCGAAAGACATGTGAAGTCTGTCAATCCGCACTTGGCCAACGTGGTGGACTATAGCCTGATCCCCCTCGTAGTGAAGGGAGGCCCGTGCGTAGTAGGACGTTAAAAAGGTCTGAATGCAATTAGTAGGTAACCCTTTTTTACGTTGGGAAATGCATTTACGCATATCACCTGCAAACATAGATGTGGTTATCTAGAACTCACACAGCCAGTGCTACCCACTAAAACTCAACGGAACCTCCTCCCCCCGCCTTAACGTTGCGTCGCAGGATCGTCGATCGCTTACGCGCTCAACTGGACAGGCCTTTCTGACGGTCCACTCTGATATCAGAGAAGTACCAGGTGCAACCCGCACGGTACACCGCCCACCGAAGTGGGCCAGGGTTTGCTGTGGATAATAGTTCGTTACAAAACTTTAGTTCTGAATTTATCAATAGATGACTCTGCCCGGGAATTTAAGAACATAATACTTTGGCGTTTTCTGCTTAAATATGTGATTCTTGATATTTTATATTTTTAGAACATCCAGACTTAAGCAACATAGGTTTATGCCAAGTCGTTTTTAATAGGTGTTAAACGTTTTGTTTACCACCATCGATTACACGAATCAATATTCTTCTACGACAGTTTAAAAGTGTCTATTGATATTGTATTCAGTTCTTTTTAACGTCCTACTGTTAAGCATGGGATAGGATCTGGCCATAGTACCTACACCTATTAAAATATGTATCTATTTCAGATTTTAATATTTGTTCCAGGTGTTATATTTCCCGGTTTAGGTGAAAAAGTGCCAAATGGATACGAAATGTTGGAGATGACACCAACAGGATTACCGGCAGATTTAAATCATGGATCTATGAGGTCGCCTGAATGCTTTCTTTGTATAAGAAGAGGTAGAGATAGACCGCCGCTAGTCGATATCGGTAAAAATTATATTTTTCAATATTATTAAAAATACACGCAAAATGCGTTTTTTTTTTTCAGAATTCAGAATATCCTCTTTTATACGACTTCAATTATAGTACCTAAGTACTAGTAGGTACTCGGGTGTTTGCTTTTTTGTTTGTACGCTACATTAAGCGATATCTTCGTCAAATATGAATAATTTTCATCGTACTTTTTAGTTTAAAAATCATTTAAAAACATAATAATCTTTATATTTTAACATATTTATCTTCATTAAATTTATTACTATGTATGTATATGTAATATCATTAACGGTCTATGTACCTACTATTAAGTTAATACTGTACCCCTGTAATATATCATTTAAATATTTATGTAGTCACGAAGTAAACATAGTTTTTGATTTATAAAGATTCAGCAAGTGAAATATCTGTATTGTATATATTTATTTATATTTACTTAATTATTTATAAAATGTGTTGTCGTTTGTTTGTTTGTTGGTTCACACAAGAAATCTTTGATATATGTATGTATGAATATGTACTGTGTACCTACTAATCATAATTAGTACCTACTGTACATCTTCTGTACTTATAAATAAAATCAAAGAGATACCATCTTTACCGCCCCGATATACCGCTCGAAGCCAAAAGCGATAGCTAGGCAAGATGATATGCCTGCTATATTGGACCTGCCTAAAAAATACGACTAAGCTGGCTTATAACAGATCAACGTTTCTTTAAACCACAAGTCTTAGTTTTGACATAAATGCGGTGACGGTTTCATAAGGTTTCCATATCCTTATTTTATCATTAGTCTTCTGTTACAGCACAGCTACATATGTTAATGTATTTTAAAATACACGTAAAATATTTTTGATCTAATTTTGACATTTAATTTTTAATATTTATTTTCCGAATTGTGTAGCTATAATACAATAGTTTTAAAAATTATCCTCTACAAACGAGAAAACAAGAAAATGTTACTTCTATTCCATATAAAGCTCTACATGAGCTCTATATGGGATTGCTAATTTGTAATCACAAATAGTCACTACAATTTTATAACCTTGATGACCTACTTCCTTAGAATAAAGTGGACATTTAGATGAAAACAGTTTAACGAAGGAAAAGTAATCCGAAAAAATTGTTTTATTTAAAATTTCGGGTTGATTCCCCATACAAACTTTCATCCCCATTTTCACCCCCTTAAGGGATGATTTCCGGCATAAAAAGTATCCTATGTCCTTCCCAGGTTGTCAAATTATGTTCTTACCAAATTTCACCTAAATCGGTTCAGTAGATTCAGAGATTACCCCCTACAACGTCACAAACTCACAAACTTTACCTCTTTATAATATTAAGTAATTAGTGTCAAATTATTAATTAGTGTCAAATATTCGCGTAAATCTAAGAAATTATTAACGAAGAAAATTAGTATTATGCATTCTGAGACGTAAATGATTGACCTACATTTGCTGCGAGTGTAGCTTCGTCAATGCTTCCATCTTTTTAGTTTGATTTTTATTAATTTCTTCAGACGATACAATGCGACCCATTTCATTAAGTCATTTTGCATAATAGATTTTACATTTTCAAAAATATACGTTGAAAGTTGAAACATAAACATATATTAATTCCTTCAAAGCTACATACGAGTATGTATGTTCGGTCAAAGTAGAGCTAAATGAAACTCCTCGCGTAGCAAATCCCATGTGCTGTTACATAAAAGGCAACGCAACTTGATCCAGTGAAACACGAACGCCGTATGAATTCAATCTAGCTATTATTTATTTTCTACTCAAGGAGAAAATTTATACTATACTCGTAGTACATGTATGTTCTTGTGTCAAAATTATAGTTTTAAAATTTTGATTTTTCATATCATCAAAATTTATCGAAATACTTGTGTGTGTGTTTTTTTTTCATGATTATTGTCAAAAGCTGAAAATTTCTAGTAAATTATTAATTAATATACATAATTATATTCAACCTTAACTTGAGGACAGTGAGATTTTCCTGTTCTTGTGATGTTTGATTAATTAATTATTATTGGAAAAGTTTATGTAGGCTGTTTTAATGATCCAATTATAATATACTCGCCCTTGCATCTTTTCTTTCATTCGTACGCCTCCTCTCGTCATACTTTATCTCATTGAATTACACGCATGATTGACGACGACTGGTCAAGTACTTTACGAGTGGCGCTGATTTCTTGTAGCATCCAGGAAGGGGCCTTTGCATGACCTCATTGGGTCCAAAATAGAACTTGTCAAGTAGACAAAATCGTGCGGAGGTTTTTTCGCATTTCTGAACTTAGATATGAAATTGTTGTAATACTAATAATATTTGAAATATATATCTATCTATCTGGTTTAATAAATTGATGTAGAATTTTTTTTATTTTAATTTTTGGTTTTTTATATCATTTAAAAGTGTGAAATGTTTAGTTGTTGTTCGCGGCTTCTATAAGGAATTGCATACATACATACATACATATACATATTATGTTAATTGAAGATACAAATAAGCTACCTCTATATTCCGATGAATTTTCATTAAATTCAAATTATTTCAATCAGTGATACATTTATTTTTTTATAAACAAAACTATTTGCTTGTTTAATTTACCCGCAATTTTTATTTTAATAGGTGTAATGTACGATGGCAAGGAACGGTTAATGGCAGATGCCGAGGTGGTACTAAAATCCGTAGACGGTCGTTGTGCGAATGTTAACAATTCGACAGCAAAAACATTCATAACGTACAGACGAGCGCACAAGACGGTGCCATGTAATGCACTAGTCGTAGTCGACGTGTGCGTTATAGTGGCAAGCAAGGGAGAGACGCCACCCCATGCTTTTTGTATGATCGCGAAAAATTTGAACAAAGGTTAGTATGTAGATTTAGATGTTTATATTTCAAACTAGCATTGCCAGCGGCTCCGCCCGCTTTCAGATGACTAAAAATCAAATTCTTATGTTTTCAGTTTTTGTATTTTTTCTCAGAAATGAGATATTTTGCTGCGGTAAAAAGTATCCTATATGTCGATCCGGATAACCAGCTATGACTATACTAAATTTCATCAAAATCCCTCCAGTGGTTTTTCTCTGATGTGGTAACAGACAGACAGACAAAAATTCTAAAAACTATACATTCGGCCTCTGTATCGATAATAATGTCTATTTCAATAAGATTTTCCAAAAAATATTTAATGTACAGATTCAGCTTAGTTACAATTCTATTATACATATAGATTATGATTAAAGGGACATTTACTGGGTGTTCGTCACTTTTGCTACTTCAAAAAATGTCATAAACTTAATATACTATATTAAATAAAGGAAAGTCAAAATTTTCTCAACTTTAGATATTGGCAATCTATGTGTATCAATATCCTTGGGAGTCTTATAAAACATAAGCATTTACAATACGATTAACGTGTGCCGATAACTACATAAGAGATTTGTGAACGATTTTCTGTCCTAAAATGGTGCGAGTAACTTTAATTGGGGCTTAACTTGTTTGAAGGTTTTTGAAACCACCTTCTTATTAAGTTGAATGAAAAGATAATTTCATTTAGATCGACTTCAGATAGGAGTTATTCAATTTGGTTGTATATTTTTAATATAATTGATTATACCTCAAGGTTGGTTTCATATAAATATTAAGAATAAGATCTACCCTAATGGTGGGATGAGAACATCCAATTTACTTTCGTATTTAGTCAAAAAGTAATGATGACCTAAAGACTGGCCTGACTTTACCTACTGGGACTTAAAACTTACTCGTTGTATTAAAATTTTCTGTCATTTTTATATTGGTTACACAAACGCTGACACCAAAACATCTCAACATAAACTAAATAAATCATAATAAAACCGTTGGAAAGCAGAAAAAAAATATGTTTGTTTTCGCTTCTGTGGTCTCTTTTATCCTTGTACATAACGCAAGTGAATGTAGAATAATATTTTAGCGTTTTATCGCACTTATATTTAATTCTGAAATTAATTGTTATTTTAATACTAGCGAGTAGCGAGTCATCCTCGCTGTGCTCGGGTTCGTCCCTAGCTTGATTCCCCATACAAACTTTCAACCCCTTAAGGGATGATTTCCGGGATAAAAAGTATCTTATGTCCTTCCCAGGGTCTTAAACTATCTTCTTACCAAATTTCATCTAAATCGGTTCAGTAGATCCAGAGATTACCCCCTACACGTCACAAACTTTACCTCTTTATAATTATAGTATAGATTAACGACTTACCCTCGTTTCACTTCGGTTTCGTCCCTAGAAAAAAAAAAACAACTCTATCCCACGGAAACTGTGCATTTTTCCGGTATAAAAAGTAACCTATCTATATCACCTATATTACCTACCTAAATATATCTATATCTATTGTATAGTGGTACCCGATGTAGATGGCCACTCAGCTAATTGTCTGGACCTTCTGCTGACAACTGATCCAGACAGATATAACATCCAGGTTTCATCCCCATTGGGTAGCTCTGACCACTGTCTGGTAAAAACTGTATCGTCTTACTCTCCACCAGATAACGATTCTACTGGCGTTAGACGAGTATGGCAATACAAGTCAGCAGATTGGGATGAGATGCGACATTTTTTTGCATCTTTTCCTTGGCGGCAGGTCTGCTTCTCTTCTTCCAATCCGTCGAGCTGTGCGGATGCTATAACTGATGTGGTGCATCAAGCGATGGAATATTTTATCCCGTTCTCTGATGTACCCGTTGGTGGCAAAGCTCGCCCATGGTTTAATGCCGAATGCACCTTTGCTGAAAAGCGTAAGCAATCGGCTTACCTTGCCTGGGTTGATGCTCGAGACCGCAAAGCTCCGGATGTAAGATCCAAGAAGAGAGCCTTTAACTTAGCCGCCAAGTCCCACAAAAAGACATTAAAGAAGGCTCGTCTTGACCGAATTACACATTTTGGCGCAAAGCTCTCTGCCCAACCATCTGGCAGCAGAGCTTTTTGGTCCCTTACCAAAGCTGTCGAGACGAACTTCTCTCGGCCCTCACTGCCACCGCTGTTAAAATCTGACGGATCCCTGGCTCATACGGCAAAGGAAAAGGCGACTTTGCTTGCCTCTTGTTTTGCCCAAAATTCATGTCTAGACTCTGGCAATGCTACTCCACCACATCTACCTCACTGCGGGATCTCAATGCCTGAGATTGCGATAACTAATAAGGAGGTTAAGAGAGTATTGTGTCGTCTAGATGTGAATAAAGCCAGTGGTCCTGATGGTATACCAGCGATAGTTCTTAAAACATGTGCTCCCGAGTTGTCTCCGATACTGACACGCCTGTACCGCCTTTCTCTTAAGACTGGAATAGTGCCTAAATCCTGGAAGCTTGCCAATGTGCAACCAGTGCCCAAGAAAGGAAGCCGTGCTGACCCTGCCAATTATCGTCCGATCTCAATCACCTCCATACTCTGCAAGATTATGGAACGTGTATTGAACACTCGTCTTATGGCATACCTAGAACAGAACGATCTCCTCAGTGATCGACAATATGGATTTCGCCGGAATCGGTCGACTGGGGACCTTCTAGTGTATGCCAATCACACCTTTGGCGAAACTATTGACCAAAGCGGGGAGGCGATTGCCGTCTCCCTCGATGTCTCAAAGGCCTTTGACAGGGTCTGGCACGCTAGCCTTATAAATAAGCTTTCAGCCTATGGCATATCTCCTGGCCTGATCGGCTGGATTAAAGACTTCCTGAGCGACCGATCACTCAGAGTTGTGGTTGATGGTTGTTCATCACAACCCCTAAAGACCAACTCAGGAGTTCCTCAGGGGTCTGTTCTCTCTGCAACCTTGTTTCTGCTGCATATCAACGATCTGCTTATACCCGGTATCTATGGGTATGCAGACGACAGCACGATTGTAGAGAGATACCTGCCGAATCCTCGGGCCAGTAGAGATCAAATTCAGTCCGAAAGAGAGGCCATGGTAGAGCGGTTGAATCTCACACTCAGGGCAGTCTCCACTTGGGGCGATGCCAATCTTGTGAGTTTCAATGCCACCAAAACACAGGCGTGCCTGTTCACCACTAAAAGGAGTCCTTTCACCTTGACTCCTACTTTCCGGAATGTGCCTTTGGAATACACAGAACGTCTGCAGTTGTTGGGGATGGACATCAGCCCCAACATGAACTACGGGCGGTTCATCGAGTCTAAGGCTAATGTAGCTGCGAGGAAAGTTGGCATCCTTGCAAAGGTCCGACAGTATTTCACGCCGGGACAGCTTCTTGTTTTATATAAAGCGCAAGTCCGGTCGTGTGTGGAATACTGTAGCCACATATGGGCTGGTGCTGCGAAATGCCATCTGTCAGCCTTGGACTCGATTGAGAGGCGTGCTCAAAGGCTTATAGGTGACCCTGCGCTGGTGAAAGCTAACTTACAAAGCCTCGATCACCGACGTAGGGTTGCCAGCCTTTGTGTATTCTATAGGTTACATTTCGGAGAGTGTGCGCAGGAACTTCATGAATTAATTCCCACATCCCCTTTCCATCATCGGACAACTCGACGAACGGCTGGTCTCCATCCTTATGTCGTGGACATTCCACCCGTCCGCACGAAGCGTTTCGCTACGTCATTTATTATACGTACGGCTAAGGATTGGAACAACCTGCCTGCGTCGGTGTTTCCGTCCGATTATAATATGGGTGTCTTCAAGGCAAGAGTGAATAGGTGGCTACTGAATTAGTGCGACTTACCATCTACGACTGCGTTACCACTTACCATCAGGTGGAACGTAGTCAAGCACTAATTCGGAATAGTATAAAAAAAAAAAAAAAAAAAGTCTATCTCTATGCCTTTCATCCAGATCCGTTCAGCCGTTATGGCGTGAAAGAGTAATAAACATCCATCAATCCTCACAAACTTTTACATTTATAATATTAGTATGAATGTATGTAATTTTACTTTTATTCCATGCATCTGTATTTAGTATTGTTTAACTAGATTGTTATACTATCTTAGTGTGCATCACAAATGACCCAGGCAAGGCAATGTTTATTTTAAACCACTGATAAGAATCCTATCGTCACTTTAACAATGATCGGCATTGATAGTAATTATCGTAACCGTAAAGTCACTTTTCGCCTAATCTCTGTTGCTTCTTTAAAAAGATAACTAAGGAATGACGTAATCTATACATATAATAAAATTGTAACTACTTAAGCCGAATCTGTACATTAAATATTTTTTGGAAAATCTTATTGAAATAGATATTATTATCGATACAGAGGCCGAATTTATAGTTTTTAGATTTTTTGTCTGTCTATCTGTCTGTTACCGCATCACGGAAAATCCACTGGAGGGATTTTGATGAAATTCGGTATGATGGTAGCTGGTTATCCGGGTCAACATATAGGATACTTTTTCTAGTATTTAGCACGCCATTATGACGCTCGGATTATTGAGATGAAGTCCACGACACCTCATTTATTTAAATCTCGTTAAGAGATGTAAACAGACGAGCATGCCTATTATGTATCTATTTTTAAACCGTGATATAGCGAGTCGATATCGTATTTTGTTTCCGAATATAGAAAAAATATTTTCACTGATTTTGCTCAAGATTTGAAGTGGTAATCTTCAGTCGACGAGATAATTCATCGACTTCGTCTACTGTCCCCTTTTTCGTGGTCGTTGTTTTATATTGTACCAACGACCCGCCTTGACTTCGTCCAGGTGTAAAATGACACAGATACATACAGCTAATACCTATATAATATGTGTGTGGCACACACGTATACATAATACATATGTATATACTATATTTACACATGTTCGGTGAATAATACTCGTAGGTATTTATCTAATTAATTAATTATATTTACCTATTGTATATATTTTTCTGCCTCGGTGGTGTAGTGGCTAGCATGTACGGCTGCACACCCGGAGGTCCTGGGTTCGAGTCCCGGGTCGGGCCAAGTTTAGTTATTGAGTCTTTCTGTGTAGTAAGTCTCAGTAACAGCCCGGAGTTGGGAAGTTTGGGAAGTTGGCGGTGTTTCATCCCCGTGCCTCGGAGAGCACGTAAAGCCGTCGGTCCTGCGCCTTAACTCTCACCGGTCGTGTCGAGCAGTCGTCCCACCGGAGTAAGAGAGTGACAGGAATAGAGAGTGCACTTGTGTCTGCGCGTACACTTGTGCACTATAATATCTCCTGCGCAGTTGGCTAGTCTCAATGAGATTGGTCGCCGTGGCCGGAATCATCATATTTTATTCACATTAATGAATATGAAATAGGTACTAAAACTTTCTTACGTTGAAAAATGAATGAATATTATTGTTCTGTTGTTCACCACAAGTTCTAAATAAAAAAAAAAAACAGAAAGAAGGTGCATAATTTAATGGACATTAACAACTACTTATTATACTCATACTCGTATATGCATAAATAGAAAAAGGGTTTAATCAATATTAGTTATGGCAAATTAAAGTATCGGAATAATGAATATATATATATATATATATATATATATATATATATATAACGCTTAAATATATGCAATAAACAAACATATACTTAACAATAAGGAGTAGGTATGGTAATTTAAAAGTAACCTTCGCGACCTTGCATACTTCGCGACATCTTACCAAAGATTCATCTCAATCGCATGAATAAACAAAATAAACGCATACAGTAAAAAGACAAACTAACACACACAGAAACATACATACATTTGTTTTTTAATAGAGATGATCGTGGGATATATGATAAAAAAAATCTATATTACCCTCTTTTTCAACGGATCGTTCACTTTTTAGACATGCGTGATGTCTTATAATGAGTTATTGTATAGTATCTAAGTTGTTTTAAATTGCAGGGTTAATGGGGAGCGATGTGTTCCTCTGCTACAAAAAGTCAATGAACCGGCCACCGTTAATAGCTTACAAGCCAGAAGTATTATTTAGGTAAGTTTAGTTATACATTTGTTAAGATTCTAAATGATTTTTTGTTGTCATTGAACTATTCGGATCATGTGGATATTAAGTATGTGTTATTGTATGCTTCATATTAAAGTTGAGGCTAGTTTCTGGTTGGGTGTCACGTGGGAGAAGCACATAGTTATTGTGGGTATTGCAATTGTAAACAAATCTTATATCTTTAAACGAGCAATTCTTGTATATATATATATAATCTGAATCTCGGAAACGGCTCCAACTATTTTATGAAATTTTATAATAAAGGCGGTTTCCGGGGCGATAAATCGATCTAGATTAGTCTTATGTCAGAGAAAACGCGTATTTTCGAGTTTTCACGCAGTTTTCTATTGCATTATTCTACGCAAAATATGTCGTATGTCGTGGTCAAGCAGCCAAGGTGCAAGATCAACAATGACAGGTGTCCAGGTTCGAATCTCAATCGCATACAAAGTTTTTACTTTTATTTCTTTTTAATGTTTATTCAAGTTTTTAACTAAAAAAAAAGAAAATTGTTCTTTAGGCCAAAAACTCCGAGCGAAGCTCGGTAGCCCGTGTACTATTGTTTTAAAAGAGCAACTTTTGAGTATCTCGCGAACTGCCTTCATAGCCGGTGGTAGATTCTTCACGACGTACACACTGATATTTAATTTAAATTTTTACAAATGTAAAAAATGACAATTCAAAAGTAAAAGTCTATTTGAATGCAGAATGTTGAGTTTTGATTTTATTTTTTATTATTTATTTAAATTTAAATTCATCGCTATTTCCTAATACGAAAAATATACAACTCGCGGTATTAACATCGGCCAAGAATTTTATGTTAGTTTAATACCACTAGCATGACTAATATGTGTATCCTCAGAACAATGAGTGGTCGCAACCTAAATCAAAACACATTACCCTCCTTTGCCTCGCGCAGTCGGATAAAAAAGAGTATTGTTACATAAAGCAAAGGCTAATTGAAATAACTTTCACAAAGTGCGTTACTAATTATCGCCTCGTGGCGCTAAAAGGTCCTGTTTAATGAACTCTAGTCAAAACTACGAAGTTAAAACTGTGTTATAACTTATAACTGCATTAAAATGAATATTTCTATTACTAAAAGCACTCTCAGCCATTATTAAGTACTAAATTATATAAACTAGCTTTAAACGAGCGTTTAAGTTTCATATTCTTACATTATAAACTAGATTTATAATCTTTTAAAGGAATTTACTTAAATTGTAATCTGTTTAAGTTTTTAGTTTATAGAATACAGACGTAGTTTATTTTAGTTATGAAATTTTGTTCGTATTCTCGTTGGGCTAGCAAATGAATGCAGGTTACGGTCCTGGATTCGATGCCCGAGATAGGTCAAAATAGCTATTCAAGTTCAATAGTGGCCACGAATAAGGAAATAAGAGGTACATTTCTATGCCTCGGAGAGTACCTACGTGAAGTCGTCATCTTGTTCGTCAGGTCTTGTTTGTGTAAAAAATATATTTAATTGAAAATAAAGACAAATAATACTGATTTTTTTTTATTGTTATTAGATTTTTTTATAACAGTCACACGAGGGTAGAACATAATTTTTAAATAATCATTTAAAAATACATATACCTATCGCAAATTACCATGAATTTAAAACAATAAAACAGTCGATTTGGTAAAAGTCTAGATGGGGATGGTAGAGACTGGTTGGAAGGATTATGATGACATGATAATTTGCTTCTAGGTATCCATCAATAGATCGCCGCAGTTTAGTATTTCCTACGTCGGTGCCTTTGTTTTGCATGCCGATGGGAGCTACCCTCGAAGTGTGGCCGAATAACGCCTCATCGCCCAAGCCAGTGTTTTCCACTTTTGTCCTTACTGTTGCTGATGCCACGGATAAGGTTAGTACACTTTTATTAGTTTTTTTTATCATAATAAGACTTCGTAACTAAGATAATTATACGTAATATTAAAATTTTTGTTTCATTTCTCTCATTTAATATTTCTTTTCCACATTTTATGTAAATCAGGTGATTTATATAATCATTTGTTAGTCATTATACAGTTAATACATTTACTGGGAGTTTTGAAATTAGAAAATTAGCATTTATGTGAAGACCAAAACGATGAAAATTTGGTATCACATTATTATTAATATTATAAATGCGAAAGTTTGGATGGATGGATGTTTGTTACTCAATCCCGCCAGAACGGTTCAACGAATCTGGATGAAATTTGGCACAGACATAGATAATAGTCTGGAATAGCACATAGATTACTTTTATCACGTAAAAGTGTTCGGGTCCCGTGGAATAGAGTTGTTTTTGTTTTCCGCTAGGGACGAACCCGAGCGAAGCGAGGGTGAGCCGCTATAATATATAAACCCTTTTAACAACTTATAGTCGTATATACTATATTGAGATTATGCACACTTTGTAAAGATATAGCATAAAATTATATATGTATGGACATTATACATACATAGATCTGTAATGTAGCGCAGCTGCTTCGTTAGTGTAATGGCTAGAATGTATAGATGCAGACCTCGATGTACTAACTTCTGTATGAGACTGGTAAGAACATTATTTTATATAGCAAAGTGTGCTTATAATATATTTATGTTATCAGGTGTATGGATCAGCAGTAACATTCTACGAGTCGTACCCCCATTCCCAACTATCAGAAGCTCAAGCGGACGCCCTCGGCTGGCGCGCGGGCGCGTCGCATACGACGCACTCGCTACACGCTAACAAGAGTATCTGTCTGCTGTCGAGATGGCCCTTCAGTGATACTTTTGAGAGATGGCTCTTGTATATATTGGTAGGTTTGATCGTCGATTTTTATATCTAGACGCGCCGTTATAACGACACAAACAAGGAATCACATTGTGGTTCAACATTCAGATAATAATTAGAAAGTCGATATTAATTTTCACATGTTTTAGTCGTAATTCGAATCGATATGGTCAGGATTTCGTTACTCATTTATGTTTGTGTTACCATGGTAACGATAACGTATGGCATTAATTCTTGAAATTGTACGCCATATTTCTCTGTCGTGGAATCTCAGTTATTAACTCGTTTATTTGCAATGTAATGTTACGATTTTATTGTTCACAACACTGCTTTTTTTTATAAAAATTGGCCAAAACCGGCGCAATAGTTTTAATGTTATAAATACTATGATCGTTTTTTGTTTTCTACTACATCCCAAATGTTTTTAAACGAAATATCCATATATTTTTTTAAATTCTATGTGTTTGATAGTGCTTGCTGAAAAATATTAACTGTTGTTTTATATTTTATGTAAAATGTATATTTATTGTATATATGTTTTTTTTTTCGTTTTAGGAAATGTCATGGAGTAAAGAACCTCTCAATATCCCCGTAGAGCGATATATTACTCATTTATTAGAAGAAATACCATTTCCGGAGCCAAGAATATTATTGCAGGTATGCAACTTAAGAAATATCCAATAATAAATTATCTATACTATATTATTATAAAAAGGCAGATTTTGTTTGCTTGTTTATTCTAACGCGCTAATCTCAGAAATTACTAATTCGACTTAAAAATTATTTTTGCATTAGATAGCCCGTTTATTGAAGAAGGCTATAGGCTATATTATATCATACTATATATATGATATATAGCCTATAGCCTTATATAAACTACATATCTTATTGCTATTTTTCGCGGGTTTATTTAGATTTTTGGTTCCTGACGTTTCGGAAAGAAACCGAAAAGATAGTTTTATTTAAAATTAGCTATTCATTAGTGTTCGTCTCTAGCTTGCTCCCTAATACAAACTTTCATCCCTATTTTCACCCCCTTAACGGATGATTTCCAGGATAAAAAGCACCCTATGTACTTCCCAGGGTCTCAAACTATCTTCTTACCAAATTTCATCTATATCGGTTAAGTAGATCCAGAAATTACCCCCTACAACGTCACAAACTTACAACCTCACAAACTCACAGACTCACAAACTTTACATGTTTATAATATTAGTAGTATAGATGTCAAATTATCGCGTTAAATCTAAGAAAGTAGTATGAAATGAATAAATCCTTCCAGTTATCCCCCACGAACGCGCACGACCGCGTGATAGTGACGCGGCGCGACGACCAGCCGCTGGTGCGCAGCGGCGCCGGCTTCCGCCAGCTGCTGCTCAACCTGGGGCCCGACAACTGCCTGCTGCTGCTCGCCCTGGCTATCACGGAGCAGAAGATACTTATACATTCTTTGAGGTATGGACTTAAGTTTTACATTGTTGACTAGCGACTCACCCTAGCTTCACTCGGGTTCTTCCCTAGGTACGTTTTAAATTAAAATAGATATAGTTTGTTATCCTTAAGAGATAGAGATATGCCATCGCGGACTTTTCTGTAGACCTATATAATATACACAATTCCACCATACATTATTTTGTTATATCTTAATATATTATTTTGTTATATCTTAATATATTATTTTGTTATGATGTTAAGTCAAAGTCAAGTCTCCCAGACGCCTTATTTTTTTCCGACATCTCCAACAAATACCGTTATATTTTAGCCTATGTATGTATACACAAAAACTTAACAAATTATATAACTAAAACCTTCCTCTTGAATCACTCTATCTATTAAAAAAAAACTTACGTTACGTAGTTTTAATTATAAAGGATAGATTTGTTTTTGTTTTTCTAGAGCCGAACCCGAGCAAAGCGAAGGTGAACCGCTAGTCTTAGCATAATTTAATTTATTTACATGGTTATGACTATATTTTTCTTTCGTGTTTTAGGCCAGACACGTTAACAGCTGTTTCAGAAGCGGTATCTAGTTTACTATTTCCATTTAAATGGCAGTGTCCCTACATACCACTTTGTCCATTAGGTAAGATTTTTTTTTATTTATTCATCAATTATTTTTATTAAAAATATTTTGCACAATTAAGTAACAATAACATTTATTTTGAATTTATAAATACATAATTATTATTCCTTAAATTAAAAATTAGATTCAAATCTTTTATAATTGATATATCTTGATGTAATATAAAAAAAAAACATGGAAGTGAAAATATATTTTCGCATTTTTTTAAAATAATTTGTATATGTTACAGGTTTAGCAGAAGTCCTACATGCGCCATTGCCGTATCTTATAGGTGTGGATTCAAGGTTTTTCGACCTGTACGAGCCGCCACCAGATGTTACGTGTGTCGACTTAGATACTAATAATATTACTGTAAGTATATTATTTCGTATGAGTTACTGTTTCACAAGTCCGGTTTCGAATCTCGTTAGGATAAATCTTTGTATGACTAACTCTTGTTAGTAAAAGTTTTACATACTCTGTGCTTATATACACCGTGTTCCCGAGGATATGCATTAACTTTGCAAAAGGCTGCTATAGCTTTTACTAAACATATCTTACAAACGAAGTATTACATTATAAAGCTTAGTTTTTAAGTTATTTCTAATTTTATTTTATTCAATTTTATTTATTTGTACAGTGTATAAACCGCCTAAAATTTATTTTTCTGTACTATATTGCTGTTGATACTGCTCATGTTTCATAAATAAAATTGGGATATAGCGAAAATGCATTCAGGAAAGGGATTACACGTCATTTTAATTAGTTTAATGAAAATTTATTGGCACTTAATTAAAACAAAATATTTACTTTTTACTAACACAGAATGTATTTTGCCATTAAGTTTTAATATACAAATTCACACCAACGCCTATCTTTACAAAACTGAAACAAAGACCCTTTGCGATTGTGATGCCTTATAAAGAACCAGAACAAAGTATAACGTATCTAGGAGTACTTTCAGATAAAAAAAATTACTTGGTGGCCTCAGTAATCTGAGGAATAGGCCATCTCATAAAAAAAACAACAACAAAACTTACATACATATTTAATAAACTAAAACATGTTGGTGATTATAATTTGCTTAAAACTATCCATCTTGCACTTTCCTAGTCTATCCTGAACTACTGCATTATATCATGTAAGACGTACATGGTAAAACTTTAGAAAGCTCAGAGGTCCCTGCTAAAAGTTATAAAATTTAAACACAATGTGGCGTGTTAAAAGTCAAACAATTATTCATTGTTAATTTAATACTATCTCAACATGAGAAATCTCTGTATAATTACAACAATGAGTCTATTTAGATGACAAAACAAGGTCTGTGCTACAATTAAGTACAATACTGCTTTTATTAATATCAATATTTTCTGGATCCTATGCTATATACCTACAATAAAATAAATCAAATCTTAAATATTTATTAAAAATACAAATATCAATGTAAGATAATCTTAGTAGACTGGTTAAAAAATAGAAATTACGAACAAACTGAAAAATTAATAGAAATAATAAAATAATTGTTTTATTATTATCTAATCTTAAAAAATGCCCAATACATAATATAGATTTTCATCTAGTAAATATTAATAGTGATCTTGATTATAATAATTAAAAACAATAAATGAATTTGTTAACAACACAAAAAATAACACAAAAATATTGTGATATTTTATGTTATTGAGCCATTATTTTGTGATATATATGTAGTATGAAAAATTGTAAAAGTCATCATTTGCCATTTGGGGTTGAACTTTAACCTTGAATAAATTTGACTAGACAATAAATATTTCATTTGAGCGCATTAAAATTCCAAAAAAAAATTAAAAGAAAATAACTTGTTATTTATATGGAAACACATAAATCACGATAAGCCACCTCTTAATATTAATAGCTCAAACTTTACCAGAACTTTTTTTTTCGTCATCTTGGATTTTCATGTTAACTAAATTAAAAAAATTTAAAAGGTTATTTTGGCCCACCCTAAATTATACATAGCAAAATATTACAAATAAACAACTACAGATAATACAAATAGTATAAAATATACCTAAAATATTTACAAATAACAAAAAATATACCTAAACGTTTGCAAGTGAACAACTACAAATAATATAATAAATAACATAGTTTTAATAATAAAAATTAATAGTTCAATAAAAATTAAATACTATTTTCTAGTTAAATTGGACACTAGTTTAAGCAAAATTGTAAACACATTACATGTTAGTTTGCTTACTGCGTCATAGATGGCGCTAACACTTTAGTGTCATATTCTGAATCGCGCTGGCAAGATGTTCTAACAAATAGTGACCTCTCTCGTATGATGAAAGTTTGGTATCGCTTCTCGGCCTTTTGGCTAAGATCAAAGTGTAGTATCTGTTCTTTTCAGCTTAATATCTGAAAGTTCCCGCACTGCGGGACCAGTATATTAAACTGATTTTTGTAAACCGACGGGATGTTCGGGGCTCGCTCCACTCCCGTCACGGGTCGGCCCGGCATTGCAGTGCCGCCGGGATCGGCCCACATAATATCGAAAAAACCCCTCATCATATAAACTTAACTTTGGATAATAAATGCTGAGCAACTTCAATTTTTTCAAAATGGATAAAATGATCATAATATTGTTAAGGCACTAGATAAATTCGGTGACTCAGTCACTGAACTTCAGTGGTGACGCGCTCGCGTGGGAAACCAAGTGAAGCTGGTTTAAATTTTAAAATTTTAAATCCAGAGTCTCGCGCCTCTGATATTATCATGTGCGAATCATTTAGAATATCATATACATAGTTACGGTGACGAAAAACATACTGAGGAAACCTGCATGTCTGAGAGAACCTAGCAAGTTTTCGAAAGACACTTGAAGTCCGCCAACCCGCACTTGGCCAGCGTGGTGGACTATGGCCTCATCCCCCTCGTATAGAAGGGAGGCCTGTGCCCAGCAGTGGGACGTTAAAAAGGGCTGAATCCATTATAGGTATAGAGTTTTATTGTGAATCTTCTATATAAATATAAATGAATATTGGTAAGCGCATAGCTCAAGAATGGCTGGACCAATTCGGCTAATTTTTTTTCGTATTTTCCTTAAGGTCCACGAAAGGTTTTAATAAAGAGAAATAATGAAAAATTTACGAAAAAAAATTAAAATGTATATGACTAACACTGGCTAATAACTATTTAAAACGTATCTAGTTATTAATAAATAATTGTTTTTCAGATATGTGAATCACAGAAGCATATATCATTAAAATTGTTGCCGAAACGTCAAGCGCGGATACTGCGGCAGACGCTCGAGCAACTCTTCTCTAACATACGACCAGGTATCTTTTCGCCGCGTGTTTACCAACAATCGATACTGCTTTGTTTGTTTGCTTGATTGAATGCGCTAATTTCTAGAAATACCAGACCAATTTTAAAAGTCATATTTGCATTTTATATAGCCTATTTATTAAAGAAGGCTATTACGAGTACTTTAACTAAAGTAAAGCTGATTGAAAAAAAACTAAATCAATAGTGTATCAACGCATGTTGACACGAGTTACAACAGCAATTTAAAATAAATCTTTGTCGAAAGGATCATTCTTATTAGGTAAAAAAAACTCTATAAAAAAAAATTATAATTTTCCATTTACCTTCTTTCATAAAAAATATATAGTATAATGATGTTTTTTTTTATTTAACAGCATCACCCATCCACATGTCGAACGGTAGTAAATATAACGGCGAACCTACAACGAGTTTAGATCGAGATTTCCAGAAAAGAAAAAAAGAGGTACGGTGGATAATTTTTAATTTAATAATATTCCATATGAAAATACATTTATTTGGTGATGGAAAAGCATAGAAATAATTTCTTTATTAAAGTGATTACGTTGGTTCAATTGAGAATAGAGAATTGTATATTTTAGTTCAAACAGTCTCTCATAGAAACAAAATCTAGTGGCATATGTCGGGGCACACGTCCGTTGGTTTAATTTGAAACGTTTATGTCAGCAAGTCGCTTTTAGTGCGAAACGATGATGTGAAAACAAGACTATCTATCTGTAAAGAACAGCTGACTATATAAGTTAAATTATGACGCTGCACTTACATCTCTAAGATTAATAGTTTTTAGGGTTCCGTACTCAAAGAGTAAAACGGGACCCTATTACTAAGATTGCGCTGTTCGTCCGTCTATCTGTCTGTCCGTCCGTCACCAGGCTGTAACTCATGAACCGTGATAATTAGACAGTTAAAATTTTCACAGGTGATGTATTTCTGTTGCCGCTATAACAACAAATACTAAAAACAGAATAAAATAAATATTAAGGGGGCGATATATTTTTTGCTGTTTTTATAGATAATGGTACGGAACCCTTCTTGCGCGAGTCCGACTCGCGCTTGGCCGGTTTTTGATTATTTAGTCAAATCGATGTAGATGTTTTCGTTACGGTTCACTTTTCTGACCTGGTACGTGTAGGTTTTTGGTGTCATAGGATACTTTTATCCCGGAAATCATGCCTTAAGGTAGTGGAAATGGAGATAGAAGTTTACATAGGGAATTAACCTAGGGACGAACCCGAGCGAAGCGAGGGTGTGTCGCTAGTAATATATATAAAAAATGTTTCCAGCAAGCGTTAGAGCTGAAGATCCAGGAGGCGTTCCTCCGGTTCATGGCGACGACGCTGCAGGGCTACCGCGGCTACCTCATACCCATCACCAAGGCGCCCACCGTCGGTACGACAGACCCACACGCTCTGTTTCACGTTGACGCCTTCCTGCGGTCTAGGGACAAGGTATGTCCCAAAACTTAGGAAAATTCGTGTCGTAAGATCGTCTTCTATTTTAATTAAAGTTCTTACAAATGTTTGGGTTGTCGAAATAACTGTGCTTAAGGTATATAGTGTTGGTATTAAGATGCTGTAGTGCCATCTAGTGGCGAGTTACAGACATCGATTAACCCTCTAAAGCTGTTTTTGATCGTCATCTATACATAAATAATAAAATTTTAACTAAGCCGAATCTATACATTATATATTTTTTGGGAAATCTTATTAAAATGGACATTATTATAGATACAGAGGCCGAATCTACAGTTTTTAGAATTTTTGTCTTGTCTGTTACCGCATCACGAGAAAACTACTTGATAGATTTTGATGAAATTTGGTATTAGCTGGTGGTGGTGGTTATTGGTGATAGCTGGTTGTCCGGTCAACATATAGGATACATTTTACCGCGGGAAAATATCTCATTTCTGAGAAAAAATACAAAAACTGCAATGTAAGAATATACTAATATATAAAATCTAAGAATTTGGTTTTTAGTCATCTGAACGCGGGCGGGGCCGCGGGCAATGCTAGTATAAAATAAAGTATGACTGGCGATTAGTTATTGTGATAATATTTACTACACTGTACAGTAAACACATTATATAACTAGGCGTAAAGCAAAAGAAAAATTAGGTAACTAAAAAAGTATATTTTAAATAAAACTATCTTTTTGGATTATTTCGCGGATTTATTTTGATTTTTGGTTCCCGACGTTTCGAATGATTTACAATCAATCATGGTCACGGGACAGACTGAGGTGTTAGAGGTCTCAAAGGTAGTAGTTACAGACAGCCTACCCACAAATAACAAAAGGAATCCAAAAAATTGAAAAACATAGGCGAGAATATCATATAATATACACAAAAAGAGTACAATTGAAATTATAACCTCTTCGTTTTTAAAGTCATACAATCATGTTAATTTGAGTTTGCAATAATATTAATATTTCGACGATACGTTTGGCTCAGTTTGTTGTGACTTTACTTGCTGTGCCAGCGATCGTGGGTTCGAGTCCCGCTGGAGGCATTCATTTATATGATGAGCACGAATATTTGTATTCCAGTTATGGATGTTTATATTATAATATGTATTTATTTTAAGTTATATGTATATTTGTAGTGTATAAACTATCTGGTATCCATAACACAAGCCTCGTAGCTTACCATGGAACTAGATGGTGCTGTGTGTTAATGTCCCGACATATTTATTTATTATATTTATTATTTTCATTTGAACAGACACAACAACGTTTTTTCTACCTAATAATGCGAACGCAAATGTTCACGCGATTCATCGAGGAGAGATCGTTCGTGTGCGACGCGGACCAGGGGATGACGTTCTTCGACGAGTGCATCGAGCGCGTGGCGGCCGGCGACGGGCCGCTGCTGGGCCTCGAACCCGGGAACGCCTCCGAGCGCACCGTGTTCGTGCTGCCGCCCGACCCGCCCGACCCTGGTCAATCATCCATATTTATTTATTTATTTATTTATTAAAGGACAACCAACAAAAGATACATTAAAAGCGGCATAATATTCATGTGTTAACAATTTCATTAATGTTCTTTTAGTAATAGGTTATCACAGCATGCTCTTTTTTTTAAATCACGTCATTTATACAGATAAATAAAATTGAAGTGTCTGTAATGTCTAAATAACAGCGTTTTACTAAATGCATATAGAATTATATACGGTACTTATAAAAAAACCCTATTTTTAATTTTTGTCTGTCTGTTTCTTCGGGATAATCTCTGAAGCGGCCGGGCCGATTTTGACGGAACTTTCACTGGCTAGTTACTTTATATGTTACTGTACTATGTTATCCCACATCATTCCACTGCTGGGCAAAGGGCTCCCCGCTACGTTTCCAAGTTTTGCGGTCTTGCGCTAAAATAGCCCAATTTGGATCGAATTTGTTCAGTTCATCTCACCACCTTGTTTGTGGTCTCCCGTGATGCTCCACTTTGTAATATATATGTATATGTATTTCATTAAAATAATATGTATTTTGAATCGCATTACTATAACGTCCAATAACGAGTTGAGGCAAGCCATCTATGCAGAAATATTATAGTGCACAAATATTCGAACCCAGGACCTTCGAATTTCCAGCTGTACATGCTAACCTTTAAATTGCCGAGACAACTACTGCCTAAACAGATTCCAAGCAATATTATTTCAGATCTTATTCTTCTATGTATAAAATATCATTTAAATCTGTGTGTTTATTCTCAGAATTATAAATATTTCTGAACTACTCAAAAATTATATTTGTTTATTCAAAGAGCTCAACCCTTAATTATTTAATTAATAATAAATACATATTCCAATCCACAGAACAGCAATACACATACGAGAAGTTCGTACTGGACTCGTGCCTGGTGGCGCGGTGCCGGGCGAGCGCGCGCGCCGGCCCGCGCGCGCCGCCCGCCGCCGCGCCCGCCGCCGCCGCCGCGCCGGCCGACGCGTCGCCCATGGCGCGCCGCACCAAGCACGAGATCGTCGCGGCGCAACGGTCTGTGTTTAGTTAATACTTTTTTTAGATTTACTCAAACATTTGACATTTTATTAAATATACTAGCATTGCCCGCGACTCCGCCCGCGTTCAGATGACCAAAAACCATATTCTTAAGTTTTACATATTAGTATACTCTTACGATGCAGTTTTTGTATTTTTTCTCAGAAATGAGATATTTTGCCGCGGTAAAAAGTATCCTATATGTTGAGCCGGATAACCAGCTATCACAATACCAAATTTCATCAAAATCCCTCTTGTGGTTTTTCTGTGATGCGATAACAGACAGACAACACAAAATTTCTAAAAACTAAAGATTCTACCTCTGTATCGATAATAAAATTAAATAATAATAATGTTTATTTCAATAAAATTTTCCAAAAAATATTTAATGTACAGATTCGGCTTAGTTACAATTTTATTATATGTATAAATAAAACTATATTTTCGGTCTTTTTTTGCGGATTTTGTTTTGATTTTGTTTCCCTAAACTAACACAACCAAAAATCAAATGAAATACACGAAAAAAATCAGAAAAGAGTTTTATTTAGGGTTCCGTGCCGGAAGCGTGCCGACGGGAACTTATTACTAAGCTTCCGCTGTCGGTCCGTCTGTCTGTCAGCGGGATGTATCTCGTGAACCGTTAATAATAATATATAAAATGCCAATGTAACAACAAATTATAAAAAATCAAGATGGCGCATTTTTAAATGGCCGACTTGCAAATAAAAAAAAGAATAATACATAGTGTTATATCTTGTACGATGGTACTGAACAGATGTATAAAAATCGATATAGTAGGTGATTTGATTTTAACAGAAAAGCTGTTAAATGCAAGGACTGTTAAAATATTATTTTTTATGATGAACGGCACACTATTGGTATTGAGGCAAGTTACAGTTATTACACCCTATAATTAGTGACCATTTTTTTAATATTAATAATCATATAGGTAGATATGTATTTTTTTTTAAATGTTCATTTAATACCCTATAAACTTCCAAGTTTTATTAATTTTCATTTAACTCTGTCAAAACATAGTTTTCTATTTATTAAGTATTAGATTTTTTATTATTATTAAATGTCATATAATTAATTACTTTAACATTCCAGCCTGGCGCGCAAAGCGAGCCTCTCCCCCGAGGCGTGGGCCAAGTGCTTGCTGGGCGCGTGCTACTCGCTGTACTTCCTGACGCTGCCGTGCCGCCTCACGCTGGCGCGCGGCCGCGAGACCGCGGCGCTGCGGAGCGCCTTCGAGCTGTTGGAAAGAGCTGCTAAGCTGAGAGTGCCATGTGATGAAGTATGCATAAAAATTGGAATAGTTGGATTAGTATTATAAAAAAGGAAAATGTGTGTTTGTGTGCAAGCGTGCGTGCATTCGTGCGTGTGTTATTTCTTTTCGAATTAATGGCTGAACTTTAAATGAAATTCTGATTGTCATAACAATAATGTTATAATGTCGTCCAGACTCAGATTAGTAAGAAATCGGGGCCCGAGATCGGTTTTGCTTGCTAACTACCGATCTCTGGATATTTACCGAAAATTTCTATGTAAAATTAATAAACTAATCATAATTTTGACTCGAATCTAGGACCTCCAACAAAATCTTTAATAAACGAATATTTAATCCCAACAGGTGTGCTACAGAGTAATGATGCAGCTATGCGGCATCCACTCGCTGCCAGTACTAGCGGTACAGCTACTGTTCCTAATGAAGCGAGCTGGCTTGCAACCAAACGCTCTTACGTATGGTTATTACAACCGGTGTGTGCTTGAGGCCGCTTGGCCCAAGGATATGGCTAGGTAGGATATGTTAATATATATTATGTATATAGATATTATGTTTATATACAGATGTGTTGTTTTTTTTTGTATAGAAATAGCGATCAGTAAATAATAGTAGCAAAGTCTTTCACATTTTCATGGACTATTTGGAGTATATTATTTGCCGTGTGCTATTACTTTATTAGAAACGAAAGTGTTTTTTTTTTCTTCAGAGTCTAAATTTGACATTCAGTTTCTATTTAAAAGACTACTTTTGCTGCGTTTGCTACTCTTATAAATAAACATGCACGTATAATATAGTAAATAACTTATACATTTATTACAGTGGGTCACAATTGTTATGGAATAAACTACGTATCACAGTGATGGGAGCAGCGCTGTTCCGTAAAGCGGGCGCGCAACGCGCCTCCCGCGCGGCCGGCGCTACTGGCAGTATGTGTTTAATTTTATTTGTATTAGAAATATGATAGCTAATATAATTTATATATAAGAGTAACATATCGTGTTAATATTATAAATGCGAAAGTTTGTAAGGATGGATGTTTGTTACTTATCACACCAGAACGGCTGAAACGGATCTGGAAGAAATTTGGCACAAAGATAGATTATAGTCTGGAACAGAACATTAGGAAAAATGCGTTGCGATAGATTAGTTTTTCTTTTTCGCAAAGCAAAGCATCGACTATGGGAGAAGGGTTCTCTCTAGGTTTAGAAGACCAGTGATAGAATTGTGGTTAAAAAAATAATTTCTTGAGCAATACTTATATAAAACATCTTAACGAAACGATAGCGCGTTTTAAAAAAACTCTAATACCATCTACATATCTATATACATCATCATCGTATCCTTGCCCATTTCCCAATCACTTGGGGTCGGAGCAGTACATCTTCCGTACTGCTGAAAGGATTTGGCAAAAGCTTTACGACCGGCCGCCTGTTTGACTTCAAGTCTTCTTGGGAATACTATTCTTTATAGCGGACGCCTTGTATATGCTTATTCGATATTGTTGTCTTTTGAAACACGTTTTATTATATTACTCAAAGGTTTTTATCTTTTAATTTGTTTTAGTTCTAGTGTAATTTTTGAAATATTTTTTTTTTGACGTTATTTAATTTTTTTTTATCTACGTACAATTATAATAAAATTAAATGTTGAATATAGAAAATTATACGATATCAACCGTGTCCAATATTACGATTCTCATATGAGTATGAGTGTGTGTGTGTGCTGCCCGGCAGGCGTGCGCGCGGCGGGCGGCGAGGGCGCGGAGCCGCCGGCGCCGGCGCTGGGCGAGCCCGCGCGCAGCCGCTCCAGCCTGGACTCTGGTATGTATCATCATAATCATTATTATGTACTAGCGACTCATCTTTGCTTCGCTCGGGTTCGATCGGTTTTATTTTTTTTTCGGATTCGGATCGGTTTTATTTTTTTTTAAGCGGAACCTTAATTCTTTTACTGGAATAAAAGTAGCCTAAGTTACTTCTTATAATATCAACTACCTGCCAGTGAAAGTCCCGTCAAAATCAACCCAGCTGTTTCGGAGATTAGCCGGAACATGCAGACAGACAGTTTTTTTTTAAATTGTGTTTTTCTTATAAATACCGTATATAATTCCATATGCATTTAGTAAACAAGCTGTTATTTTGACATTACAAACAGACACTTCAATTTTATTTATCTCTATAGATGTATAGATGATTTTTTCAAGTAAAAACTTCTTTAGCCCCGTTGCGATTTGAAACTCGATGAAACAGAAATAGAGACAAACATACATTTGAATACATTATACAGTGTTTCGTATATTCGTGGTGACCTGTTCATAATATATGTCCATGCTAGACTATGGCGTGGTTCCCCTCGTATTAAGAGCAGTGCTATGGCCAGCAACGAGACGTCAAAAAAAGACTGAATATAAATGCCAAGACTAAATATAATAAAACGTACCAACCCCCAGCGTGCGAGGGCGCGGGCGCGAGCGCGTTCGAGGCGCTGGTGCGGCGCGGCAACATCGTGCGCGCGGCGGCGCACCCGCGCCACCACCAGCTCTCCGCGCACGCCGGCATACTTATATCTGGTTTGTGCGGTTTTATTGTTTGTTTGATTGATTGATTTATTTTAATCATACGTTAATTACGGTATATCTTTAAAGTAATTTATTTACAATTAAATTAATATTTTCTTAGATTTACGCGAATATTTCACATTTTAAATAAAACTGTCTTTTTGGATCGACTTTTATTTATTTATTTTTGGGAAACAAACAGTGAGATAATTCTTAAAAATAATTAAAAACTAAAAAATCCACACACCAGCAAAGTTTCCACCTATAACTGTCACAGGTAGAGTAAACATGATTAATTTAAACATTAAAACAATATAATAAAATTTTAACAAAAGTTACTTCCAATATACACTAAAAAGGACAACAAAAAAAAACAAATTATAAAATTAAAAAAAAAACACAAAAAGCAAAACTTAAACTCTAACAGAACAAGACTTTAAAGCAATAATGGTCACGGAAGATACTAATGGCCGATTTCACCAACGTCACTTAAGTTTAAGGGATCCCCTAAGCATGGGACAGCGGACACATTAGGGACAGTTTCTGTTTTACCGAGAGTTAGGGGTCACCTAAAAATTAAAAAATAAATAATAAAATGCCACCTAAATATAGGTACTAGAAATACGGACTCTGGCGATGTTAAATGAAATTTAATTTAGGGGAACTTTTAAGCTAGGGATCCCATACGTAGTTGGTAGCTTAAGTCTTGTTGGTGAAATCGGACATAAGTCTTTAGACGTAACATTCAAAACTTGTTAACTAAACATTAAAATAAATAAGCTAGAAAATTTAAAAAGATAGTTTTATTTATTCACATTACAAGCATATGAAACTATCTTCTCAGTTAAAGCTAAGATCTAATATAAAAATATAATACGTTTTTACTTTTTATCAGGCTTGCCCTCGAACCCAGATTTGACAGGGACGACGCGGCCTAGAAGTAATTCTTTAGGCAATGAGGAACCCGAACCACCGACGATGACCATAGTCGATAAGAGACAGGTATGAATTAATGAAATGCACCATTTATATAACAGATAATATATTCATATATTGTACTAATTTGTACCTGACAATATAGTTATTTATTATTGCTAATAACACTAAATGAAATTCCATTTGTATTATTTTTCTTACTAACTTTTTAGCTCGATTTCCCTAAACTAGCGGATAAGTAGACTCATAGTCGTATTTATTTTCAAATACAATTTGAATTTAAATGTTTTTCAAGGTTTACATTTTTTACATAGTGACCAAATTTTTATATATATTATAAACTAACATTGCCTTGCAAACGTACTAAACCGATTTTAACTAAATTTTGTGTATTAATAACTTATTACTGGAGTCAACATTTAAGATATCTTTTACAATAAAATGTGGTAAGTTTTGAGTGTTTTATAGTAAACGTCTCCCGCGGTTGGAGACGTATTTAATAATAATATATCAAGGAAGTGGTAGCCCAGTGGTAACGCGCTCGCTTGGGAAACCGAGTGATGCGGTTTCAAATCCCGGTTCTCGCACCTCTGATATTTTCATGTGCGAATCATTTCCAACATGATTACCACTTGTCTTACGGTGAAGGAAAACATCGTGAGGAAACCTGCATGTCTGAGAAAACCTTGCAAGTTTTCGAAAAACATGTGAAGTCCGCCAACCCGCACTTGGCCAGCGTGGCGGACTATGGCCTGATTCCCCCTCGTATTAAAGGGAGGCCCGCGCCCAGCAGTGGGAGGTTAAAAAGGGTTGAATACACACATATATGAATGTGAATATAATGAATGTGACAGACCATCCACGTGAGCCCCGACAGCCCCTCCGACCTGCGCATCCTCACGCGCTCGGAGAGCTTCGCAGGCGACGCCCAGATAGTGCAGAACTTGCAGCGGCTCTCCTTCTCTAGTGGTAACTATCATATGCTAATTATGCTTAATTTTCTTTTTTTTTAGGTGTTTTATTGTGTTAAGCGCCATTACTTATTTTTTTTATATGTGAATAAATTTTTGGGTTTTCTTATAAAATATAAATAATTGTATATAGCACACAGGAATTATTATATTAAATATTTTAATATTATAAATTAGACCAGATATATATATAGAAATAACTTTTTTTTTAAATAATGTCAAGAATTAAAGTGCATAAATCTGTTGCGACATAATTCTAGCATTTTTTTTTTTATTTTATTCAAGGTGCGATAGAGATATTTTGACACCTACTAATTTTAACTTTCTAGGTACATCGAATCCAAAATCTCGATGCTCTCGAACGCTCAGCTTCCCAGAGGAGCCGGAGAGGGAAGCGGCGGCTGCAGACACCCTCGACACCGCCAAGTCGTCACCACTAAAGTATGTTTGTTGATCCGTCATTTAAGATTATTCATATTAATAACTAGCTGAACCCGTGGCTTCGCACGCGCTAAAACTACAAATAAAATCTCTAAAACGGTAGGTTTCATACAAACTTCCATCCCCTATTTCACTCCTTTGGTTGAATTTTGAAAAACCCTTCCTTAGTGGATGCCTTCGTTATATGAGGAATACGTGTGCGAAATTTCAATTTTCTAGCCTTAAGGGTTGGGTCTGTGCGTTGATACATCAGTCAATCATTTTTGCCTTTTATATGTATAGATATCTAACAATACTGATTCTCTTACAATTTTCTCGCAGTTCCTCTCACGTGATAAAGTAGTCCTACATAAACTGTTCTATCTCGGTGACGTAACGGCTAGCGATCATAGGTTCGAGTCCTAAGTCGGGTGAAGTTTAGTTATTAGGTTTTTTTTAAGAAAGTCCCAGTGATAGTCCGCAGTTGGGACGTTCAGCGGTGATTTATCACCGTGTCGCGGCGAGCACATAAAGACGTAGATTCTGCATGTGATCTCCCTCCGGTCGTATCGAATTATGGTCAATGACAGGAACTGAGAGTGCATTTTGTATCTGCACTATAATATTTCTTGCGCATAATACTTTTTTAGATTTACCCGAATATTTGACATTTTAAATACTAATTTTTAAATAAAAAACTATCTTTTCGGATTTTTCGGAAGACATTTTAAATAAAAAACGATCTTTTCGGATTATTTCGCGGATTTATTTTGATTTTTTGTTTCCGACGTTTCACTTGTTACAGACTAGTATATAACGTCTTTGTGACGTCTAAAACCTTGGTCTCTCCCGTGACCATGATTGCTGTAAAGCATTCGAAACGTTGGGGACTTCATCACATAGGCTACATATTTGTAAACTATTTCCATTATAAATTTTCTTTATATCCGCTGAGCTGGTTATACCGTGAAATATTTGTTTACTAACAAACTTTCACATTTATAATGCAAGTGATATACATATGTATAATATGTTTATTTCCCTACACTTTCAGTGTTTGTTGGAATTAATTTTTTTTATACTTATTTGACTCCTTCACCAGCTACAGTGTATTGACTAAGTAAAATATATTATATAAGTATAAAGCTAAAATATAACATATTAAATTTCTCCTTGATGCCTTTTTAGATAGAGTGATACATACGACAAAAATTTTTTTCTCTCGACATATGAATAATAAAACAATGTTTATTCATAAAGTATATTTATTTATTTATGTACCACAAAAAGAACATATAATATAGAAAACAGACACCATGTGTACAAAGGATAACTTATCTCTTTAAGAGGTCTCTACCAGAAACCCTATAACGTGAGAAAAAATAATAATGAGTTACGGTGTATATAAAATTATATACATATATATACAAACAGATATTAACGTATATACATACATATACGTTAAGAAATATATTATATAATAAGGAAATTATATACGTATTTACAAGTGTATACAACGTGAGTGCAGGCTGTCCCCCCGCACGCCGGTGCTCAGCGACGACCCGCTGGGCGCGCTGGCGCTGGGCGCGCTGAGCGCCGCGCCGCCAGCGCCGCCAGCGCCGCCAGCGCCCGCGCCGCCGCGCCCCAAGCACGAGCTCAGCGTCAGCCCCAAGCTGTTCCACCGCCGCAGCAACTCCTTCCAGGACGACCCGCACCAAGCTGACAATGACGCAGCTACAGATACCGCTGGGTAAATAGCTTCCTTTATTATTTCACCATACTTTGTATTCCGCACTCTTATGACTTACTCTAAAAAAAAAATGAAACCTGCGTGTCTTAGAGAACATAGCCGAAACACATATTAAGTCCGCCCTGCGCTCAACAGTGGGACGTTATAAAGTGCTGAATACGTACTCTTTTGTTAAAGTGAGTAAGTCAATTTTTGCAATTTTCTGTAAGTATTGTAAATATTTATATTATGTCCTTTACACAAAAGACAAACTCTAAATATTAACTTATATACCTCTGAAATTTTAACTATGGTACTTCATGCCATACCAATTCCCTGTCCCATGAGTCATGTATGAACATTTCGATTGTTTAACTATTGTGTCTGTTTTGCGAACGATTGTTAATATATTTCATATATGTATAAATTGTTGACTCTCACCATTATCCTTCCTTTTTTTTACAGTTTAAATGGATTGCATAAAAATAATTTTAAATGATATATACCATAATGTATAGATAAATATTATTATTATTATTGAAAAAATGCTATTTTCATCTAGGCTATGATTTTAAATGCATAAACAAATATTACTGTACTAGAAGTGAATAAAATTAGTATATTATTAAAAACGAGAAATATGGACACAGAAACAATATTTGTTTATTACACACACACATCACGTCTTAAACTTATTAATATAATAACTAGCATTGCCCGCGGCTCCGCCCGCGTTCAGATGACCAAAAACTAAATTCTTAGGCGTTACATATTAGTATACTCTTACATTGCAGTTTTTGTATTTTTCCTCAGAAATAAGATATTTTCCCGCGGTAAAAAGTATCCTAGGATCGCGCGCTACATCGCCCGGTTTATATAGCTTGAGCAGGCGGTCGAGCGATGCGGGGCAGAGGGGATGGACTCGCCGTAGGCATCTCAATGCTCGCCAAGCATTAAAAATGTTTCGCTACTAATTACTTCTAACAACGATATCTCAAAAACTATTCATCTGATTGATTTAGTGTAAAGAGCAATTTTAATCTGCATTAAATGACTAAGCTAACTAAAATATTCATTTGGATAAGGATTAATACCGAACTAAAGAAAATAACTTTGAAAATAACGTAATGTTTTTAATTAAAAATGTTAACATAAAAGTGGTTATTGTAAGTCAACCGTAAGAGATAGAGATATGCTATCGCGGACTTTTTTGTAGCATTTTTATAGATTTTGAATTCTCTAGTACATTACTTAACTGTATCTTTGCTAGTTTACGCGGCGTTCGCGTGGAAAGTTCCCATTTGGCGAGATTTTTTGCGACCTCTTCAACATTTGTCGCCGTATTTCAGCTAATTTACATAAAAGCATAATAAATTATATACCTAAACCTTCCTCAAGAATTACTCTTTCTATTGTTGAAAACCGTATAAAAATCCGTTCAGTAGTTTTCGAGTTTATCGCGTACAGACAGACAGGAGGACAGACAGGAGGACAGAAAGACGCGGCCGGGGGACTTATTTTTATAATAAGTATAGATAAAAGAAATCTACAAAAAAAAAGAATACCCAGTGCTATCAAAGCTCAACTAACGCAGCAAATATATTACTTTTACAAAAGAACTTACGGTCGTCTTGGCTACATTTAATATGCAATTATGAAAAGTTTAAAACGTGACACTTTAAGCAGCTTCACACGGCGCGTAGTTTAACGGACGCGCACTGCATATATCACAACTAGCTACTTACCATCACTTCTATAGGTGCCTAACCTATATATTAACTCCAGGTTATATTACCTGTGTAGGTACTAAACTTTGTACAAATCCGTTCAACCGTTTTAGCATAAAAGTAACAAACAAACACACACACACACACACACACACACACACGTATACACATACAAACTATCGTTTAATATAATATTAGTCCGATATGAACGTACGCGCCGTGTGGAGTTAGCTGTACAGTAACAGTAGAGCTAGCACGCGCCAGCGTATAGAGCGGAGTGAGCTCGATAGTTTCCTCTGTACAGGAAACTGCACAGGAGCGAGACCGCGCCCGCCACCGTGTCGGCCAGCCTCGCCAGCATCGGCAACACGCTGAAGATCAGCTTTGGGTGAGTTGTTCTCTCTATCGAACAGTCATCGAGTGAGTGAGATAGATAGATTTCTTTTGTATGTGGAAGTTTATTATTATCCAGCGACGTAGTAGCGATTTGATTGAATGTCTCTATCGATCAGTGGGTGAGTGAGAGAGATAGGTTTCATTTGTGTGTGAAAGTTTATTATTAACTGGCAACATAGTAGCGATTTACCCGCAGTGCCTAACAGCAGTCTATGTGTTACGGCGGGATATTTTATCTATCTATTGAATTTCATCAAAATCAGTCCGATCGTTTAAAGTTGTCGTAAAGGAGTATTATAGTAGTATAATATATATATATATATATAGTATATAGGATATAGGAGTATAATAGTATAGAGTCTATTAGAGTAGTAATTGCAAGGGTTAACGAATATCTCAATTTATTATATTTATATTTAAAAAGTCTTTATTTAAACAACATATTTCAGTAATAATATTGCTATCTAATAATTGGTATGAATTTGCTGTCAAGTGCAGGTATTATTCTTTACAAAATATTACAGCTACATACAATCAGTGTGGCACTTATAATGTTCGTACATTGGTAATTTTAAAAATAACTTATATTTATACAGCAAATAACATTTTGTTGCACGTGATCAATTTATAAAAATATATACATTAATTATTTTACGCATGTTAGAAAATTAGATGCTTGAAGATTTGTCATTCAAACTCACATTTATTATATAATATTCATATGATTAATTTTTTTTAACCAATGTTAATCAAATTTTCTGTGTAGTAAATATTCATTTAAATTTTAGAAAGTTTGTTGTATATCACAAATATATATATATATATATATATATATATATATATATATATATATATATATATATACATTGATAACGTTTTTAGAGCATGTTTGTTTGAAGACGTTGTATTAAAGATACTTTGGCGAATGTTACGCTTAATTTGTTTTTCATACTAATTTCACCATTAACACCTCCAGATAAATTTCTATGAAATTAATTGAAATTCTATGAAATCTATTGTTAATTGACACGCCGGCGTGTCCGCGGTCGTGGACGGATTAATGATTTTCATCATCTGCATGCTAGTATCGAATCGATTAATAATTAATCGTTAAAAAAATAATAAATTAATTAATTATAATTATTGTAGTTTAAAATTATAAATATGGTGAAATTAGTTCATATTTTTATTTCACATTTATTTTCGCACCGTATGCTAGCTGTTTGTTTTCTTAGACGCTATTCGCCCGCCCGACTGTCGTTGCGCAAGGAAAACATGAAAATTGGAAAGGCTATGATCGAGAACTACTTCAGGTGAGATTGGCCTACTTTCCAAATTTACAAGACTAAGTTTGGGTGAAGGTTGTGGGTTTTCGATCTCATACTTATATTATCTTATAATTACATAATTCATTCAATAATCTCTCATGTAAGATCAATAACTTTATAACACGCTTAGCTTTCAGTATTTTATTTGTTTTTGTAATTAATATGTGTGCAATAACAAGTTTATAACATGTTTAATAATGGTTAAGTAATAATGTGTATATAAAATCAGGCGCCGACATCTTCTCTGGAAAAAAAAACAGCAATATTTTAATATTATCACGATTCAGCATGTGCACCGGGTAACCGCCGCCAAACGAATGCCCCCCACACCCAGCCAGCCAAATCGCGTGCCGCCTTTTAAAGTGTCTGCCCACTACACTGTTTCATACCATGACCGTGATATGAACTTACCAGGCACGGAAACGAGCATGGCACGGATTATTATACCCACTAGAACATATCGACAGCGTATCGTACCCGTACACGATTGTTGCCGCTCCGTGCACGGCACGCGACGGTGCCGGTCGGTGACGGAACGGTCTAGTGGGCGGAATCTCATACTTTTCACTACAAATAATATTTTTTTTGTCTGACACGGTCCTAGCACGGTCATGGTATGAGACGGTGTAGTGAGTAGACTCCTTAATGGAGTTTTGGTGGTGGGGGTTTTGCCCGTTGCACGTGCTGCTTACAAACATAGATGGCGCGCCGGCATGTACAATGTAAGATACATTATTCTATAGTACTTGTATTTCAACAGTCCAACGAGTATAGCTGGTAAGAAATCAAATGAACTTCTCCAAAGCGGTCTAAGCAGCCTCAAGTCGGCAGCAACGAGTATGGCAAAGAAGTTCGATGAAATGAAAGAAGTTATATCGGCCAATTCTACGCCAGTCAAAGGGGCCATCGGTAATGCAACGAGTGCGTTAGCCAATTTCATCACAGAAGAAGATTCTGGAGATGGATCTTCTGAGATGAATCCGGATGGTAAGAATTTATATTGATTGTTCAATAAAAGAATAATACATCGAGGAAATTGCACCTACACGCGTATTGTATGAAATATGCGTTTTGAATGGAAATTGTAAATTATATATCTTTATATATAAATATTACGGCTCACCCTCGCTTCGCTCGGGTCCGTCCCTAGATTGATTCCCCATACAAACTTTCATCCCTATTTTCACCCCCTTAAGGGATGATTTCCGGAATAAAAATATATTCAAGGTCCTTCCCAGGGTCTCAAACTATCTTCTTACCAAATTTTATCTTAGTCGGTTCAGTATTTCCAGAGATAACTTCTTACAAACAAACTCATAAATGTACAAACTTTATCTCTTTATTATATAAGTATTTAATAAATCCCGCAAACCCAAAAAGTTCCATAGTTTTTTTTCTCCGGTTATTATCAGAACTGAGGCATTTTCAATTTTAGTGTATGTTTTATTTCGTAAACTAGCGACTCACCCTCTCTTCGCTCGTTCGTTTTAAATTAAAATGGATATAGTATGTTATCCTTAAGAGATAGACATATACCATCGCGGAATTTTCTGTAGATACACAATTCCACCATACATTATTTTTTTATATCTCAAAGGGTTTTGGCAGCGTTTTAGTTGAAAGCTCCCAGACGGCTTATTTTTTTCCGACACCTCCAACAAATCGTTATATTTTAGCCAATGTATACAAAAGCTTAACAAATTATATACTTAAACCTTCCTCGAGAACCAAACTATCTATTGGAGAAAAATTGGCGAAAACAGCATGAAAATCGGTGCAGTTTTTGAATTTATCGCGAACAGACAGACAAACAGTCGTGGCGGAGGACTTTGTTTTAAAATATGTAGTGATTACGTGACATTTTTTCAATAGATTTTTCAAAATACTAAAATTGCACCTTATCGCAACATTATATATTTTTTTATCATCAGAATGGCCGACCGGCATGAGCTTCAGGCGCACTTCTAGTGACGCGGAGCTGGCGTGTTCTATGGAGCGCGGGTCTTTGGCCACTTTACTGTCACATCTCCCTGATAATTTGTATCCAACGTGCAATGTAAGTAGACCATTACATTTTGACATTCAACTGTTACTTTTGGCTTCATAATAATTGTTCTTTATTCAACAAAAAACAAAAGAAAAATAACAGAAAAGAAATATTTGACGACACGTTTGGTTCAGTGTGTAGTGACTCTACTTGTTGTGCCAGCGGTCGCGGGTTCGGGTCCCGCTGGGGGCACGTATGATGAGCACGAATATTTGTACTCCAGTCATGGATGTTTATATTTATAATATATATATATTTAATGGTATATATGTGTAATGTATCAACTATCTGCCTCTTAGTTTACCATGGAACTAGATGGTCATTTGTGTTAGTGTCCCAACATATTTATATTTATTGTTATTGTGGGTTATTTCACCATTGTCAGAATAATCGATTCGACTCTTGTAGAAAGCTTAAATATTTATAAGCAATCATAGTTATAATGTGATTTACTTATAAAATGTCACCGTCCAAACTCTTCAAATGTTATGTATTATTCGTAAAAAAACGAATAGGAATGTTGAGACGTTTATTCATTTTTATAACTGTACAATTGAAAAAAAAAAATAGATATATATATATATAGGTATATATTAGACTGATTCAAAAAAACCTACTATTTTTTTTATTTTTTTTAATATTGAAAATATTGTCAGAAATGACGAAAAAAAAATCCTGTGATAGTTAGAGCTCTTAATATTAATATTAAGAGGTGCCGAGTGGAAAATTTCGATTTCCCATTTGATTAACGTGGGAAATTTTTTTTTTCTTACTTTGGAATTCTGTAGCTCTTTAACAAGTCATCGGATTGGTTGAGTCAGAACATATTCTTGTAGAGAATTGAACGCTCTACAAAAAAGGTCTCTTATGATTTTTTGGTATATTTACTATTTCAAAAGTTATTCAACCCTAAAGATGAATTGATTCAAAATTTTTACATTTTTCTAATTTTCCGACGCAACCATCAACTTTATGAGAAAATTTAATAGGACTTTTTTGTAAAACATTCAATTTCCTATAACTTATCTCTCAAAAAATTAAAATTTTTTTTTCAGATCGTAAGTTATTTGCAAAAAACTAAAAAATTTTTTAAAAAGTTGTAATTTTTATTCTTAAAATTAATTATCATGTTAAACAAATAAAGTTTTAACCTAAAAATTGAATGTTTATTATAATCAAAGCAATTTATATCGTTAAACTAAAAAATTTCTATTACAATTGGGCACTTTTTTTCTGTATTCACTAATAATTAGCAATAAGTATTGTAGTTGATCTTCATTTTTAGTGAAACACTTATTGTATTGTTCAATATATGCTACACACAGAAATCTTAATAATAAGCTAATAGAAGTGGCATAGACGCGTGACCTTGTCGCCGCGCATGTGACTCGTAGGTCACAAGCGCGTGTAAAGCGTTTGTTGCGGTAACTAGTGTTATTTGAGACACGGAGAGGTAAACATGGTGTTTTGCAGCATATTCAACTGCGGAAATTCTTCCACAATTTGTAACTTTACAAATAAAGGGATAACATTTCATATATAAGTACTTAATTTTTGAAATAATGTCGTTTTTAAGAAAAATAGCCAAATCAAATGTTTTCACCACCACTACTACGATTATCGCAGGAAAACGTTTTTTTTTTTCAATTCAATAACCATTACCACTTAAGCTTGTTCATGTCTACTATTACAACTGCTAAAAGCAGCAATGAAATAATAGTCATGCGTAAAGAACAATATCGTCGCGTACGTAAATTCCAAGGACACGCCGCATAAGTTGGCCGCGAATTAGTGACGTGCCACCACTATTTTTTATCGAAAATTTATTACGTTTGGCTTAATATTTTTCGTTAAATATTTAATTGTTACATCTCATTATGTATGTTTTCTTTCTGTCTGAATAATTTACGATTATCTGTAAATTCATACTTTTAAACTACTTTTTCATTCAGAAAATTATTAGGAGGTAGGCTTATTATTGTTATGTATATGGGTAAGTCAAAAACAGTATGCGTTGAATATCCTTGTATCGTTGACATGTTCCGCATTTACCAAATATTTTTTTTGATTTGATTGAGTAAATAATTCTAAGGGCGAGTTGTTTGATAAACATATCATAGAAATTCTATAAAAAAATTTAAGTCATTGTTAAAAATGTATAGGATTTTAACAAATAGTTTGCATAACTTTTGTATAATAATAATAATAATAATAATATTTATTGCAAAGGTATACACCCAATTTAGAATATAATAACATATATGTAGTTATACAAGTCAATTTTTATATCACTTATGCATATATATGCAAGTGAATAAAAACATTATAAAAACAAAATTCAGTCAGACTCTTCATTAAATTAAACTAGAATTAAAAACAATATATCGCTGTTGAGTATATAGTAGCTGTTGAGTGTATAACTATATAATAATAAAAAAAATTACTTACTTTTAACGTTTTATTGTATTCCCTTTATGAAAATAAATAAATCGTCTAAAATCGCGTCGAGGAATGAAACATAAAACACTTTCAATAAATTAGTTACCTATTGTTGCAAGACTCAACGGAAAATTATCGATATGAGCATTATGCGCTTTGTGCTGCACTAGAAGTGAGCGCGCGATATCATTCTGTGCTTTTCGCACACGTTTATTATTGGTCACAGGGATCACGGGTTCTGAGATTATGCGTTTTTAGAAAATATTGCGTAATGTCATCGCTTAAAGTTTAATTTTTGTTGCAACAATGCAAAATGCATGTGTGGGCGATAGTGTGTATTTATTGTTGTCAATGTGTTGGTAGCTGCAAGCCGGCGACACGCGTCCCAGTACTAAAAGACCGCAATGGCATTTCTATTACCTTATTATTAAGATTTCTGTGATGCTACACCACGCTCCACCACGTCATTCACGACTGTTAATTTTGTAAAAAATCGCACACACTCTTTAAAACTTCCATCACTAGCCCAAGAATTAACATCTTTCTCAATGAAGTCGTAAGGCAAATCGAAATCTTTGAAAATAGATAGAGAATCTATCGACACAAAGTCACTCATATCTTTGTCTAATATTGCATTTAAATTATCTTTTTTTACTTCAAATTTCCTTGCCTTAACTTTCTTTCCTTTCCGACAGTTAATATTTACAATCATTTTTTTTTCACTTCAACTTCTACTTCATTATCAAACAAGGAAATTATAGCTAGCTCTTCAGTTAAATACCATAGATGATTAATCATTTTTACAGTAGCAGCTTTTGATATTTTAGAATTAACGGCTTCGTATCGAATTAATTTTTAATTAATACATACATTGTTACCAATTTACTTAAGTTTTGTGTTTTCGTTGTAATTATATTTAAATAAATATAGATAGTAGTAACTAGTTAGTGTAAATATAACAATTTAGTTAAGTTTTCTGTTTTCGTTATAATTAGGTATAAATAACATTGGTGACATACTTCATTTTAATAGCAAATAATATAAAGTGTGACACCATACCGTCGAAAGGAAAAGTCATTGCCTGTGAAAAGTAGCAGGTGAAATCACGTGAAAAATATACGTAATTTTATCATATGATAATGATTTAAAAGTAGCAATCATTTCCATGCTTACTTAACAATAAAAATATATTACTCTATTCAAAAAAGCTCGGCAATTACCTAATTCTTGGAATCACAACAGCGTTGAAGTATATCAAATATAGGTAGAGGGGGGCGAGCTTGAAAGGATTTTTAATTGATATGGATAGTAGAGTCATATTAAATATAAAATAGATAAAAAATGTTTTTATTTGCTTTTGAGAATTGTTCGTCTTGACCTTGAAATGATTTCCAAAAATCGAATAACATAAATCAGCATCATTTGTTAAAAAAAAAAAGCTTTTCCATTTATTGATTAAATTGTAATAAACATTCAATTTTTAGGTTAAAACTTTATTTGTTTAACATGATAATTAATTTTAAGAATAAAAATGACAACTTTTTAAAAAAAATTTAGTTTTTTGCAAATAACTTACGATCTGTAAAAAAAATTTAATTTTTTGAGAGATAAGTTATAGGAAATTGAATGTTTTACAAAAAAGTCCTATTAAATTTTCTCATAAAGTTGATGGTTGCGTCGGAAAATTAGAAAAATGTAAAAATTTTGAATCAATTCATCTTTAGGGTTGAATAACTTTTGAAAAAGTAAATATATCAAAAAATCATAAGAGACCTTTTTTGTAGAGCGTTCAATTCTCTACAAGAATATGTTCTGACTCAACCAATCCGATGACTTGTTAAAGAGCTACAGAATTCCAAAGTAAGAAAAAAAAATTTTCCCACGTTAATCAAATGGGAAATCGAAATTTTCCACTCGGCACCTCTTAATATTAATATTAAGAGCTCTAGCTTTCACAGAATTTTTTTTTTTTGTCATTTCTGACAATATTTTCAATATTAAAAAAAAAAAAAATAGTCGGTTTTTTTGAATCAGTCTAGTATATATATATATATATATATATATATATATATATATATAATAAAAATGTAGTATTCCACAAAAATCGTTTTCTTCTAGGACTCAATCAGAAGGAAACTTCAAAAATATTTAAGTAAATATTTGACAAAATATCATTTTAATTTTCTTCAAAGTATCAAAATAGCATTACGAATAAAACTGAATAAACTGGTCGTATATTTGTATAATCTGTATAAAATTATAAATATTAGAAATGTGAAAGTTTATGAGAATGTATGGATGCTTGTTACTCTTTCACGTCAGAACGGCTGAACGGATCGGGATGAAATTTGGCACAGACATATATCATAGTCTGAAATAACACATAGGCTACTTTTTATTCCGGAAAACGGTATACGGAATAGATTTGTTTTTGTATTAAAACGAATGAATGGACGATGCCCGCCAGCAGCAGGACGGGACGGGAGAGAGGGGGGGCGTGCGCGTGCACATGACGTCGTGCTCGCAGTGCCACCAGTGCCTGGCGCTGCTGTACGACGAGGACGCCATGGCGGGCTGGGCCGCCGACGACTCCAACCTCAACACGCGCTGCATCGCCTGCGGCCGCCACACCGTGCCGCTGCTCTCCGTGCAGGCGAGCCTCACTCACACTACACTACACCGAATCTTATTATACGAATTAAATAAAATTGCTAAAAAATTGTCTGTGACGAATTAAAAAAATCTATTACGATACGTACTAGTATAGTATTATATGATCTATAATATTAACTCAAAATGAATAATTCAAAAAAAGTCATCGCCAGGGCCGGATTCAACCTTAGCGCCGCCCCTGGGCATAGTAAAATGTCCGCCATATTATCAACTTTTTCCATAAAATGGGTAAAGTTTTAATAAAAAAAAATTTTATTAATGATTTTTTTGAAAACGCAAATAGATAATTTATAAATGATTTCAATTTTTCAAAAAATGTTTTTATTTTATTGGAAATTAAAAAAAGAGTTTTCGACAACGCGAAAACAATTTTCTCCTATAAATGAATGAAATAAATTTGACCCTATGTAAAGTTAAATAATCCGCTCCTAAATTAAAATCTTAATGAAAAAAAATCCTTTAAATAATAAAGTTCATTATTGTTCGTCTATATTAAAAACACTAAAAAAATCCTATGATTTTTGATAGCGATGCATATTTTTTAAAACAATTTTGTTATTTCCTATCAATTTGGTTATTATTTTAAACATGAATATTTAATTTCTGACGGCTAGTTAGTTTTAATAAGTATGACAAAGCACGCAACACTATATAACTGTCAGAAATTATATTTGTTTTTTTTATATTTCAGATAATACGAGAGGGACAAAGTCAAGCGGAAACATTAAGCGTGCCTTACTTGAATCCTCTTGTACTGAGAAAAGAATTTGAGTCTATTTTAGGTGGGTTACAGTCTATACGACTAGTATTACATATATTATACGTTTAGTTATTAGTATCAAATAAACATAAAACATTATCAGACATTGGAATGGACACAATTTAAGTTCATTCAACATTATCGTCACTATTTTATTATTCTGTGTTATATATAATACATTATATAAAACATAAAAAATACAAATATACAAATATCCTTTATTGCACACCAGAAATTTACATGACATAATATATAGATTAAAGATTTAATAGCACAATTGGCGGCCTTATCGCTAAGCGAGCGATCTCTTCCAGGCAACCTTTGGATAGATAGAAAGAAAACTATCGAGAAGGGGTGCAATCAAAACTTTTTACAGAATATAAAAAAAAATATTCATATATAATTAATTCATACATGACTGACATACATATATACAACTATGTTTTTTTTTTATTTTTTACTTCTAGGCAGAGAAGGAGATTCGTGTCTCGCAGAACCTGAATTTGTTGAATCACATCCAATAGTGTACTGGAACTTGGTTTGGTTCCTCGAGCGCGCCAACATCGACAACCACCTGCCGGAATTGTTGAGTCCGAACTTCACCGCCAAGTATCACAGTACAGATCCGTTGCCGGACGTCGATAAACTTGGTAATAATTATGATTATACTAGCGGTATTATCATCCTTTCGCTCGGGTGCAGCTCTCTCACCTATCTAGATAGATAAATCTTATATATTTAAACGAGCTATTCTTGTATATATATATATATATATCAATATATAATCTGAATCTCGGAAACGGCTCCAACGATTTTCATGAAATTTAGCATGCAAGGGGTTTCGGGGGCGATAAATCGATCTAGATTAGTCTTATATCTGGAAAAACGCGAATTTTCGAATTTTCATGCGATTTTATTTTGCATTTTCACAATTTTTGCATTGTCACTTCTGGTAAGTGGGCGGCGCCACTGTGCAACTGTCAACGTCGTGTCCGTATTTACATCAAGTTTAAATATATTTAAGTGAAAATAATCTAAAGAATAAATATAAATTTAAATAATAAAAATAAATTTTTAAATAAAACCTATGGGCAATATGTAAACATCACCAAGTCTTGATGTGTTGAAGAACAAATGAGCTTTTAAAAATTCACCTACCAAACAAATATAAAAGTGACAAACATAACTTAAAGATACTATTAGTGCAAAACCATCTTTTCTGTGTGTGATGACAATAAAACAAAATAATTTGTGAAGTGAAAGCGTCAAATATTAAAACATAAGTTTATAACCTCAAAAACTAATACTCGGTATAAAATTGCAATTCAACTTGGTATAATTGGTGCTTTTTTCAATCAGCTTTTCTACTTCCAACTTCACACATAAGATGGAGGACATAAAAAAGTTGCTAATAAACATGCAACAAGAAATAAGACAGCAGAAAACAGAAATGTTAGAAATGAAAGAAGACATTAAAAATACAATCAACAATAATATACTTAAATAAGAAATTTAAACAGTTAGAAATAAAAATTGAAGTTCTTGAGAAAAAAATCCAGGAACAAAGTACCTCAATAAATAATTTAGAAAGACATATTAGGCGCAAGAACTTTCATGAACTCCTATCATGAACTAGAGGAAAAAATAGTCTTAAACTAAACGGAAATAAAAAAGAAGTCTGCCTGTATCTCCAGAAACGCCTTACCTCAATTATAAACAAAAACTAAAAAATAAACAACATACAAAGAAAACCATACCTGGTAATATTAAAGACTTAATATTACAAAAACCAAAGTTAACTTTCAACCACACAAATGATAACCAGGAACAACTAAAAACAACACAGCAAGATACAGTATATTAAACACCGTAGGAACCTCCTCATCTTTATCCACCAGTACGGCCGGTCACTGTGGGGGAGTTCGACCGTAACCCTCCAAAGAAAAACAGACATACAATGAACAAAGGTATACATATCTTCACCAGAAAAACTTCTAGAATTTAAAGCAGCATTTCCTACAACAAATCAAAAGAACACAAAGATAAAATTATAAACTTTATAGGCATATCAGAAACAAATTATATATTGAAAACAAAATTTGAAAAGAAACCCTTTGCAATCATACAAGCATAATCTCCAACGGAGAGCTCTATGCAGGACTACTTTGGAGGAGGCTTTTAACCGAGAGGGGTCTATACATGAAAAAGACATTTACTAAATAAATACATTTAATTATGAAGTTAAATACCTAATTTATAACTATTGTCAGAATTAATGTATGGAAAGAAATTTTATTTATATGTGAAATGTTTAGTATTTACTCAATTGAATTATTTAATTTATTGTGATTTTTTATTTGTTAATGATAATCTTATATATTTAAACGAGCTATTCTTGTATATATATATATATATCTCAATATATAATCTGAATCTCGAAAACGGCTCCAACGATTTTCATGAAATTTAGTATACAAAGGGTTTCGGGGGCGATAAATCGATCTAGATTAGTCTTATGTCTGGAAAAACGCGTGTTTTCGAATTTTCATGCGGTTTTCTTTTGCATTTTCACAATTTTTGCATTGTCAGTTGTCACTTCTGGTGGGTGGGAGGCGCCACTGTACAACTGTCAATATCGTGTCCGTATTTACATCAAGTTTAAAAATATTTAAGTGGAAATAATCTAAAGAAAATGATAAATTCTAATTAGTTTAACAATAATTTTAAGAAATATTAATCTATAAACATCACCAAGTCTTGATGTGTTGAAGAACAAATGAGCTTTTAAAAATTCGCCTACCAAACAAATACAAAAGTGAGAAACATAACATACAGATACTATTAGTGCAAAACCATCTTTTCTGTGTGTGATGACAATAAAACAAAATAATTTGTGAAGTGAAAGCGTAAAATATTAAAACATAAGTTTATAACCTCAAAAACTAATACTCTGTATAAAATTGCAATTCAACTAGGTATAATTAACATACAACAAGAAATAAGACAGCAGAAAACAGAAATGTTAGAAATGAAAGAAGACATTAAAAATACAATCAACAATAATATACTTAAATGAGAAATTTAAACACTTAGAAATAAAAAATTCCTCAATAAATAATTTAGAAAGACATATTAGGCGCAAGAACTTGGTTATGTTCGGAGTAGAAAAAGGTGAAAAATCCTATCATGAACTAGAGGAAAAAATAAAGTCTTAAACAAACGCAAGGAGTTACAAGCCCAACTGAAGATAAAGAAAAAGACCTAGGCAAAACAGCTTTCATTAAATATGACAAACTAATTATTGTGGATAATAATAAGAACACTCAAATAAAAGAAGTCTGCCTGTATCTTCAGAAACGCCTTACCTCAATTATAAACAAAAACTAACAAATAAACAACATACAAAGAAAACCAAACCTGCTAATATTAAAGACTTTATATTACAAAAACCAAAATTAACTTTCAACCACAAAAATGATAACCAGGAAGAACTAAAAACAACACAGCAAGATACAGTATATTAAACACAGTAGGAACCTCCTCATTTTTATCCCCCAGTACAGCCGGTCACTGTGGGGGAGTTCGACTGTAACCCTCCAAAGAAAGACAGACATACAAAGAACAAAGGTAATACATATCTTCACCAGAAAAACTTCTAGAATTAAAAGCAGCATTTCCTACAACAAATCAAAAGAACACAAAGATAAAATTATAAACTTTATAGGCATATCAGAAACAAATTATAGTATATTGGAAACAAAATTTGAAAAGAAACCCTTTGCAATCATACAAGCATAATCTCCAACGGAGAGCTCTATGCAGGACTACTTTGGAGGAGGCTTTTAACCGAGAGGGGTCTATACATGAAAAAGACATTTACTAAATAAATACATTTAATTATGAAATTAAATACCTAATTTATAACTATTGTCAGAATTAATGTATGGAAAGAAATTTTATTTATATGTATTATTGTAAAATGTTTAGTATTTACTCAATTGAATTATTTAATTTACTGTCATTGTTTATTTATTTGTTAATGATAATTTATATATATACAATATAATTTCAAATAATATTAAAGATTTTTAAAATATTTTAATTCCAGATTACAAAATTATTAGTTAAAAAATTATAAGTGAATAAATAGTTACTAAATTATATAATTTTATATTTCAGCAATGTGATATAGACATTTTTCTGATAGTTTAAATTTATTTAAAAAGAAAGTGTATTTAAATATTTAGATTAGTTTTTTTTTCTTCTTTTATTTATTGTACAACTAAAATGGCTCCTTATATACTTTTAACCAAATAAAATTTTAATGGAATACTTTTATAAAAAGCTGTGCATACTTTTAAATTAAATTTATATACAAATAGGTAAAATTATAATGTTAAATAAATGTTTTTATGTAAATTTGTTTAGTAAGCCTTTATAATAAATAAATGAATAAATAAATAGAGCTTTATTATTATTCCTTTTGCATTATTTCAATAAATTAATAATTAATAATTCCACGCAAAATATTATTGTCGATAATTTCGCATGCTCAGATATAAGCATCATGGTCAAGCGGCCAATGCGCAAATTTGACAACCACAGGTGTCTGGGTTCGTATCCCGATCGGACACAAGGTTTTTAATGTTGTTTTTTTTGTAGTTATTCAAATTCTTAGTTTGTTTTTTTTTAACGTTTTTTTTTGGCCAAACACTCCGAGCAAGGCTCGGTCGCCCAGGTACTTTATATATATACAATATCATTTCAAATAATATGAAGATTTTTAAAATATGTAATTTAATTCCAGATTACAAAATTATTATTTAAAAAATTATAAGTTAATAAATAGTCACTAAATTATATAATTTTATATTTCAGCAATGTGATATAGACATTTTTTTTATTGTACAACTAAAATGGCTCCTTATATACTCTTAACCAAATAAAATTTTAATGGAATACTTTTATAAAAAGCTGTGCATACTTTTAAATTAAATTTATATATAAATAGGTAAAATTATAATGTTAAATAAATGTTTTTATGTAAATTTAGTTAGTAAGCCTTTATAATAAATAAATGAATAAATAAATAGAGCTTTATTATTATTATGATTTCTTTTGCATTATTTTAATAAATTAATAATTCCACGCAAAATATTATGTTCGATAATTTCGCACGCTCAGATATAAGCATTATGGTCAAGCGGCCAATGCACAAGTTTGACAACCACAGGTGTCTGGGTTCGTATCCCGGTCGGACACAAAGTTTTTAATTTTGTTTTTTTTTGTATTTATTCAAATTCTTAGTTTGTTTTTTTTAATTTTAGTTTGTTTTTTTGTTTGCCAAAAACTCCGAGCAAAGCTCGGTCGCCCAGGTACTAGATATTTATATGCAAAATTTCATCTAATTCAGCCCAACCATTTTAGCGTGCAGAATTAACAAACAACACGTAAACTTTCGTATTTATAATAGCCTTTTTTTTGAAAAAACATACATACATACAAACATACATTTATAATAGTAGTTCGGTTATACGCGTCTTCGTCACATCGAAGAACGAAACAGCCTATGTTTTAATGAATAATAAATTATTATCATTCAAAATTTCCGATATTGTTCATTCTACGTGACTCTGGGAAGTAATTTATGCTCAACTGGCTTTGTAGAAAAGAATTGAATTAAATAATATACATTTACATCATATATCTAATATGGCTATGTATGTGTGTTTGTTCGTACAATCTGGAACAAACCAAGACTGGAGGTCCCAGTGCGACTTGATTAATTCGTCAATGTCAATGAAAGAGATTATTTGATAAAGTAAGGTCATTAATGTATATAAAATTATAATGTGTAATTAATCAACTAAATCCTTTAAAACCTTGTAAATATAACAAAAACCTTAAATTATTGTACAAATATGTTAATTAATTGATATGTTTACAAACATATTTACACAAACATTATTAAATATTAATTAACATCAATGGAATAGAGGCCTTTGAGGGTGAGTAACTTCATCGAGGCCACATTCGCACACGTGATGATCTGACCCTGATCTTTGATAGGTGAACAGGTGTACATGATATCTCTTTCGTGATCATGATTACTGTAACAGTGTAAAGCATTCGAAACGTCGTAAGCCAAAAATCCAAATAAATCTGCGAAAAGTTTGTAAACATAGTTTTATTTAAAATGTCAAATATTCGCGTAAATCTAACAAAGTCTTAGATGTATATGCATGCACAAGGCGCAAAACACGTGTAAAGGACAAAATATAAATAATAATGATCCAACGTGCACAAGTTTTAGAAGATATATGATGTATATGTCGTTCTCCTGACCGATTCCGGCCACGGTGGCCAATCTCAATGAGACTAGCCAACTGCGCAGGAGATATTATAGTGCAGCGCGTGTACGCGCAGACACAACGTGCACTCTCTATTCCTGTCACTCATACTCCGGTGGGACGACCACTCGACACGACCGGTGAGAGTGTCGGCGCAGGACCGACGGCTTTACGTGCTCTCCGAGGCACGGGGGTGAAACACCGCCAACTTCCCAACTCCGGGCTGCTACTGAGACTTACTATACAGAAAGACTCAATAACTAAACTTGGCCCGACCGTGGACTCGAACCCAGGACCTCCGGGTGTGCAGCCGTACATGCTAGCCACTACACCACCGAGGCAGTAATATTGTATATATAATATAGCAATAATAATGTATATAATGCACGTGTGTCAGCGGTGACAGTGTCCTGCGAGTGGGAGTTCTTGCGCGCGGGCGAGGGCGAGGCGCCGGCGCTGTACGTGGCGTGGGCGCGCCCGCCGCCGCGCTCGCGCACGCTGCGCGCGCTGCTGCTCACCGACCACGACTGCACGCAGCACAACTCGTACGTACTCCGCCCCACCGCCCTTACCGTCCTTAGCCTACTTCTCTTACTCGATGGCGTACCTCAAACTTTGACGACCTACGCCTCGATTGACTGCTTCTTTTATTCATAAGTACTACTAACAGAACTCACGGCTATGTCCACGTTCAATCTACAAAAAAACTCTGGCTTTAATTTGTCAAATCACATACGAAACTATCTTGTTTTTGCTGTCATGTAATTTGACATACGTGGATTCATATTTTCATGGTGTAATTATAATCAATCCATTTATGTGATAAGCGTGACTCAGGACTTAGGTCACGCAGTGCTATAAATATATATATATATATATATATATATATATATATAATAACGTCTATTTGGTCTTGCAGCGTCGTCCTTGCAGTTTTGGATGGTCTTTTAAGCAATGACCTGTCTGACGCGATCAGGAAATTGGCGGCGTGGCGAGAATCCACTTGCAGCAATAAGCGATATTACTCTTATTACAGGTTAATATATAGATCCTTACCTATGTTTATTTTAAACTATCTTTTATTGTTTTATTTTTATCTTTTGTCATTTTATCTATTTGTTATTTCTTTTGACGCCTGGCCACCCACGTCCTTTTTAATATGGAGAAATTAGAGAGTATTGTGTTGTGTAAACCTTAAATAATTTTATATTCCTTAAAATAAAAGTGGTCATTTTGTGATTTGTCTGGTGACAAATTACAAGTACCGCAATTTCATGAGCATGAATAGATAGATTCATTAATCTCAATATTGTATACATGTTCGCTTGAACATATAATATTCATACACATATCGACTCGAGCGAGCGCTCGCGCGATATGTGTATGAATACAAAAGGATAAAAACGGCTAAGATACCTATGAATGTAGATAAATGTGGAAAAGAGACGGCAAACATTTGTACGTATGTGCGACAGAGACATCCTATTCCTGGCGATGGCGGCGCTGGGCGAGCACAACATCGACCTCACGGCGCTGCAGCGCGAGTACAGTCGCGCGCTGGAGCGCCTCGGGCCCGACGCGCGCGCGCAGGACCTGCCGCCCTCGCCCGCCGCGCTCTGCGCGCGACACTACTTCAAGCGGCTGCGCCTGCCGCAGTCATTCTAAACCATACTCTTGTAATACTTATGTAGACGATTTACGCGAATATTTGTCTAATTTTTTTTTTTTGAAGTGAAACTTGTTTAGAATCGTTGTTATTTGAAACGCGACACTAAAAAAAGACAAATACATAAATATATAGGATTAAGACGGCGAGAGAATGGGATAGAGTACACGGCCATGGTAACCGTTGTTATTGGCTGACAAATATTTATTTATGTCAAATAAAATGTAAAATAACCTTATAATTATCCTACTCCTCATAATCTATATTCATCTCATCCTCTCGTGGGTTACTTTTCTGAAGTTTCACTTCTACCATGTATGAATTGCCCACACACGGACTTTCTTATTTTGATTTTGGTTCCCGATTTTTTGAATGTTGTACTTACAACAATTATGGCCACGAAAGCTTCTAGATAGGCCTATCGGCCCTCCTGACTGTCATACGTACTTTAATATGCAGTCGAGTATCGGATGTAGGGTTGACGCATATAACTGTAACTTGTCACGAGACGGTACTATACGCCATTAATATTGGTATGTTTTGACAGCCCTTGTATTTGGCGAGATTTCCGTTATGACTGAAAGTCGATGGCGCACTGTATGAATCTTTATACTGTGCAACTTTTGAAAGTAAACTTATAAAATATACATATAATCTCCTAGCAACGCCTCTGGCGAAAGCTAATGGAAACTAAAATGAAGAGTAACCAAAACCGACGGATATACAGATATGACTATCAAACATGTCGATATTTATTTAAAATTAAATTGTTTGTTGATATCAATTACATATTATAAAATATGTTAACATCTAACGCGGTAACTTCCATATGCCATACCATATAATATACATACAGTAATAAAATAAGTATAAAATATCTTGTTAATCTTGTTAATAAAGTCATGTTTCTGTACAAGGTCTTAGATCGTATATAGATCGTATATCATATAAGATAGCATCAATTTCAATATATCAACGAGTTTTATTTGACCAACTTCAAAATAAGGGGATACTTAATTCAGTTTTTATTTTGTGTATGAGAATCTATTAAATTGAAAATTAATTACTTGACTTTAATCCAGTATCCTACTCTATATGGGCGTAGAGCATTAAGACATACTACTGAGCTGAGTTTGTTTTAAATTGTGAAAATGCAAAATAACAAATTAATGAATATAATAATAACGATGAATTCGATCGATTTATCTGATTAGAAGTGTATGGTATGTTTTATGTATTTTTTTGATATTTTTAAAATACACAGAGTGTTATAGAAAAAAAATACTACGCTTTGTTTAATAATAACAAAAGCTTAATATATTTTGAATGTAGGCAGAGTATGATACACTGAACTTTGTATGAACAAAAATCTTATAGGTTTCTTTATTATTATTAATTAATAATAAACACCTACTGGTTTTCATTAAAAATATATATAAATATTTAAATAAAAATATCACTACATATTATGTTATTATAAAATATTAAATTATATGGTTAGGTTTGATGGAAATATCAAACCTACCGTAACCATAAAAAAATTATTGCGACTTAACATGGATATGACATTATAAGTTGTTCTTTTAATGATTATATGAGTGTAATCTCTTGTAAATAAGTATTTGATGTAAACAAAATTTATAAATTGTACGTAAACGAAATTTTTATTTGGAAAAGTTAAATTGAATTTGAACAGTACGCGCGTTAGCCGTCCAGTATGTTATAAGTTTTAGCATCAACATCCTTTCTAAAAAAACTTTATAACTACACGTCCTGCATCGGGATCAATACGTTGATTGTATATTATTCGGAATATAATCGATTTTATTATTATATATAACTTGTTAAGTGATACTAATTCGGCTAAAATAGCTTTCAAATGGCTATTTCGCTCCAAATATTAAACGCGTTCGCTAGCGAGTGTCGTCCAGTTCTAGATCGATGGTAGAGAAAGAGTAGTTTTCATGTTCAACGTAAATACGGCCTAGTATAGTATTTTAAGATATATTGCCCCAATATTTGCTTTTCGCGAAAATAATTTATTTATGATGATTTAATTTTCATTTTTCTTTTTTTCAACTTATACATTTAATTTATAACTTTTTGATTTGTCATTTATTTTAATGATAATTGTACTATTCTGTGTAATTATTTTTTAATTGGAACAGAGTTGCTGATAATTTAATTTACAACAAACATTTTACGATGAATCATAATATTAATAAGCTATTCATTGAAGAGAACCCCGCATTTGTTAAGACTTGTATTTCATCAATGCAGTATAAGTACTTACTGCAATATAATTGAATTAGATATTTTGTAAATATCATATAGTGTTTGTAATTCACTTATTTTTCGGCATTAGTATAGGATTGCGGGTGCTAAAGCAAAAATTTAAATGTTTACTATAAAAATGGAGTGTACATATATATAAATGTGCGTGTATTTTATAAATTAGCATATAAAAATTGAATCGATCGTAGTCCACCCGACTATGTGATAAAGAGGTTGTTCGCGATACAGTCACATTTTACATAAGTTTTGATTAATTTGCATAATTTTGTTCATTCCAATATGGACTTTGTAGCTTGGTAATAAGTATTACTTAGCGTGAAATAGTTGTCGATGTGACTGCCAAAACGAAAGTATTCAAATGCGTGTCAATGTACTGTAGGAAAAAAAATTAGAAATTATTATATTATTGCTTATTTTCATTTTAATCATCACAATATTGTTCCCTGGCCTAAGTATAGTTGTATACATATATTTTATATGATTTCATCATTTCGTTAATACTCAAGTCTTTATATTATATTGCGCCATATTGTTATGTCTAGCGATAGCTGAATCAAAATATTATTTATTCGTATTTTAAATGTAATAATGTATACTTTTTGTTGGAATTATTTAGATTGCGAGTTTCCTGCAATTACATATTATTTTATCCAATTTATTTTAAATAATTACAAGCAAGTATGACTGTGTGGAAGTATTAATGAATTAAATGTAGTAGCTACTTGCGAATTATTCATTCATTAAGTCCTTTTTAATTCGGAGATATCACATTTAAGTTTAAATCTCATCAAAATTGGTCTATGTAAAGATACAAAGGACAAAAACACTTCATTTATATTTAATATTAGTATTAAAGGCATTTTTGCCTCGGGTGATGTTAAAGCCATATTTTAAGTTCCATATTATTGTGTAACGGTGATAATCACAGATGTATTTTTATAATATTCAAGTAATTAATGTCTTTACAATAATGTTCATAAACAAGGTAATCGAAAAGACATGCAATAAATTGTAATTGATACCCATTTAATATTGATTTGAAATTTATTTTATTGTAATGGACAAGTATAATGAGATGAATATAATTTTTTATAAAAAAAATATAAGGCTTCATTTAAAATTCTTTGTTTTATTTCAACATCTCCTAAACAGACAGACATTTATAAGTTTCAATGTAAATATAATCAAAACTATAGTTTTATTTTTATTACCATCTTCTGAATTAGCTGATTTAGATTTGTTTGTGTGTTTAAGAAAAATAACCGCTAAATAAAATGATTACGCGATTTTACGAACGTTATTTCGCAGTTAAAAAATATTTTTCTATATGTTTAAGTACATAATATGAAAGGTCATTTTAATTATGATCCAATGAATGGCCTACTTTTTATGTTTAGTTTTGACTTTTGAAATATCGACCTCGAACCCGCGACTAAGTAGAGAATTTTTGCTGTAAGAGCTTTAGGATACCACCATTTACGGATTGTGTTGAGCTCTAAATAATATGAAAAATACGAGTATAATGTATTGTTGTAAAAGTGTTGTATACAATGTATGAATCAGTTGTTACCACTTTCAAATAAAATAGTTGAGTAAATGAATATTAAACTCAAATTTTAAAGAAAACGCGCCAAGCATTTCTGGTACACTTGACTACATAGAACTCTCGGTCATAAAAAGAAAACTACAGAAATAAACATTAGTTCAAGGACTATTCATTCCTTAAAAAACAAATGTTAAAAACTATACTGTGAAAAAAAAACGTTTAAAACGACCGAAACTCGCAATATTTGTTATAAGTCCAATCAAATAAATATGATCTTAAAATGTTAGCAGGTATATAAGGAATAGAAATTCGTAAAAGGCCCCCTGTGCCCATGGCTACCCCCGAGAAATGGGGGGACGCAAAACGTTGAAAAATAGTTTTTTTTTTCAATTTCCGGCTTATTATGACGTTCTATCGATAAAAATAACTTCAAAAGTTGTAGGTCTAGTAAGAATCTACAACTTTTATAAATAACACTTTTTACAATAACCTCAAAGTTTTCGAGATTTGCAAAAAACGCGGTTTTTAACTTTTTCTTGGTTTTTTATCTAATTTCGAAGTATGCTAAAACATAAATTTATTTAATTGTATTGAAGAGCGTTAATACCAAGTTTCAAGTAATTCTGATTATAAATATTTTTTTGGGTTGTATTATAACGCGTTTTCCCATGGAAGTTTCGTTTTCATCGTCATTTCGTTCAATTAATTTCGCTCGTTATGATTTCGTATATGGCCTCTTAGATCTTTAATTTGAATTGATAAAGTAATAATAATGTTCTAATAATATAAAACTGTATAGTTTCTTTGATCACCAAATTCTCTGGAATATCAAGAAAAGTATTTTTTTGCATTGTAAAGCCTATATTGAGAAAGGTTATGGGATAAATATCAGAGTAATAATACCTGAATACACACAAACAGAGCCATGGGCAAAAGCTAGTTTAATATACAATAGATAGACAAAAATGTTTGTATGAATGTTTATTAAAATTTTTACTTCTACTGATGATTAATATTGTCATCCATTCCTATAACTCTATACAGAAATCTACCATCATGATCATAAAAGCAGTCATTCATTTTATATGTAGCTCCCTTTTTATAAGCCTTCTTTGGAATCCTTATTCTTTCTGGGTAATTTGTGCTAGAAAAAACTTTATTGTCCTCCTCTTTAAATTTTGTAATGTTTTTTTCTTCTTTGGTTTCCGAAATAACATTTATTTCATTTTTTGGTGCATTCCCTTTTTCAGTTAAAACTGAAACTGTCTCTACAGAATCCATAATAATTCTGTCTGGCAAATCTACACTTTGACCATGATCTAGTCGTGTTCTAATTTTACTTGCTAGTTCACTTAAAGTTACCTTTTTATAATCTATTTTTTCTTTTGGCTTTTTAGCATCAGATGAAATATTTTCATTGCAATGAACATCATTATCTTTGTTTTCATTATTGTTTATATTGGCACATCTCCTTACAATTTGTTCAAATTCTCCAATTTTTTCTTGAGATAAGTCAACTTTAACAGATTTTCTATTTAGTGGTGGTATAGTTCTATCTGAAAATTTTAAGAAATGTTGTCTTAATTTTTCAGGTATGTCTAAAGTTCCTTCTTTTAACTCTTTCCAGTTTCTCATTGCCGAGGCATCATGACGAGTTATCCTTTCTTCTGTTGCGGGTTTCCAAGGGTACTTCAATAATTTCTGTAAAAGGTTTACAAATAAAATAAATTATTATTACCAAATTAAAAGGATAAAATGAAGAAGGTAAATATAGAAAACTATTGTAAAAATATATGATAACCTTACTTTCACAACTTGTTCGGTAACTGGAAAACTTTCAGCTATTCTCTCAGGTGTCCAATCATTTGGTTGAGTTGTGGCCAAATGACGAATTTGTTCCTTTTCACTCCAAGTCAATAAGTTAGGCATATTTTCTTTAAAATATCGTTCTTTGACTATATGATGTCGCAGTTCATGTTTCCCAATTAGTGTCTCATTTAAATGCTCATTATATGCTTGACCTACCTGTAAAATATGAATATTTTAACTTCTGTAAATTCAGTGACATTTTACTTCGTTTAAACTTACAAATTAAACCATTTGGAATAGAGAACATATAAAGTTTTAGAAGCTAAAATAACCTACCTCATAAAATGAACTTTCCGATTGTTCGATGAATTCTTCGACATCATCATCTTGAACTTTAATACTGTCTTGTCGGAAAGCCTTTAACCTATTGTCCAAGCCAGGGTTTGCTAATGCTGGATTCTTGCCTCGTAAATTTCGAATAATAACTTTATCACAAACATAGAAAAAGCGTCTTACGTTTAGGGCAAACATAGTATTGTGTTTAAATATTCTCACAATGTTAGTCACTAACCAAAATAAAATATTATAAATTTACAAGAAAAGGTTCAATTTAAGTATTGATATGGCATAATGAAAAATACAAAACATAACCAACAAAACGACATTGATGCGACTGTGTGACAGTTGTGAACTGACAATGACAGCTAAACGCTGCACTTGCCAACACTTAATTACTTAATAATTTCAAAAACTCCCTAACTGACAATTTGAAAAATGTAGGTTTTTATCTAATACTATTTTTTTTATTTTAAATGATTACAAGTTGCGTAAAAAACTTATGCTTGGTTATAATTATAATAATTACATATAACTATTTAATAATAAATTGCAGTTTGAGAATTTGTGCGTAAAATACAGTTTTTGTATTTTTTCTCAGAAATGAGATATTTTCCGCGGTAAAAAGAATCCTATATGTTGACCCGGATAACCAGCTATCATTATACCAAATTTCATTAAAAATCTGTCCAGAGGTTTTCTCGTGATGCGGTAACAGACAGACAGACAGACAAAAATTCTAAAAACTATAGATTCGGACTCGAGAGACCCTCCGGGAGAGACTCTCCGTGACCATGATTGCTGTAAAGCATTCGAAACGTCGGGAACCAAAAATCCAAATAAATCCGCAAACAAATCCGAAAAGGGGATGGACGTTTTATAAGGGGGCAGAGGGTAGGTAAGGATGTAATAAGATTAACATATAAATATTAATATTATGTATTTTTAAAATATGTAATGATAGTGACTCATCCTCGGTACGCTCGGGTGTGTCTTTTGTCCGGCAACAGTGCATAGCCGATAAAGCACCTCAACGGCCTTTTCACAGTAATGTAATGCACATTACCGTGGTCTTTTTTTCGACTTCAATTAAAGTTATTATGATTTCTGGCAGTAAACACAATTTTATCAGAATTATAATAGCTTATAACACTCGATGGTAATACAGCTTCGTTTTCGTCAATGAATTTTCAAATTCGGATCTGTAGGTAATTTCAGAGATTTCTCATTTCATATTCATAATAAACTCACAACAAACTTTTACTTCTTTATAAGTGTAGACAGGTACTTAAGTGATACCATTACATGGTAAGGCCCTTTTAGATAATTCCAGTCCCCAAATACTTTTAAAGTTCAAGTGTCGTCACGTTAAGAAAAAATGTAGGCTGATCGTCCATAACTAGATATTCTTACGCGTCAACTGTCGGTGTAGCACAGCCAACCGGACTGGTGATCATGGGTTCGGTCTCTGCAAGTAAATTGTATATTAACAAGAAAAAAATATAATACAAATTAATTTTTAAAAAATCAGAAATTCGGTCACCAATATTAAGTTCAATCTATACAATAAAAATACCATTGAAATTCGATCTGAAGTGACGTGGTATATTAGAACAAAAATCATTTATTTAGTTAATAGATAAATAATGTCCTGAGACCTGAACCTAAAAAAATTGTTCGTCTTGGTAAATACAATCAAAACAAATTGATATTTGAAAATAAAAGCTCACCTATAGCTTTGCTCCGTAAGAGAGATGCTTTAAAGAATCACAAAATTCGAATCTATAGAGCAAGATGAGGGCCGCCAGACGTCACGTATTTTCTGACGAACGAAATGTGGACGATTGGGTAGTGTTAGTATGTACTAATATCGCATGCCTACCTGATAACTTGGTAAGACGGCCAATATCCAGGTATCAGGTAATCAAGGTACCTCAAAAGATTACTTACCTCACGTACATTCTCCAAGCTGATTTTCACGTATATTTTAGACAATATCGTTAAAAATAAGTCGTCAATACTCCCAGACACGACGTGTCCGATGTTACCTAAAACTAATGTTTTTTAGTAAGTGAATTGTATTCTTTTGAGAAATAAATAAATATTAAACCTCAACCTCATTTATAAAAAGAAAAATATTTTTTGTTATAGGTAGATATTTCCCAATAAACAATAATTTGTTTTAATTAATATCTTCAATAATAATTTGTTCCACTATCGCCAATCATTGGATGAGTATCTTTAACGTGAAAGCAAGAATTACAACTTACGATCTCAACTTTACGCGCTAGTTCGGTTCGACTGCCCTTTACACACGCGCGTTTCCAAGCGAGAGTCGTCTAAAATTAAATGTGTATGAGTGACTACTATTTTTTTTTAAATTAAAATTGACTACGGACTTTTAATATAAGTAAGTGATATTTATCAATTTTTAAATATTATCTATATATTTAATCAAAGGACAATTATTATTTTCTTTATAATTTTAATTAAAAATAATCACACAAATATATTTAAGGTAATTAGGAGCTTTCTTTTATTATTATAACATATTAAAGTATTTTTAAGCCTGAATTTTAGGAGTTGCAATTAAATAACCGCTGTTTTATTTTTATAATATCCTATCGTTACACAACATACTAACGAAATATGTATGTAGGTAGGTATACTTGGTTCGGGTACATGTTTCGAATACCATACATAAATGTATGAAGAATTGAAAATTCGAAACCCTGCGTAACTAGAATACTAATATAATAAGATGACGTGATGCGAGAACATTTTGATGTCATTTAGGTTTTAAGCTTTCTCCCATTATTATTTAAATTTGTAGGCCGTTGCTTTCTTAAATTAAATTTTTAAAGCTTTTTTTAGAATATAATATATTTAAATAAGAATTTAGAGTATTGTATAGAAATTTGAGCTGTAATTTATAAATATATAATAAATAATAAAATTGAATATTTTCATAATTATTAATTACATATATATTTGTTGCAATTATGATACTAATGAGTGAATGAATAGCATGAAAATAACTTGGCAGATTCGTATAAATATTTTAGAGGAGTTGTTATTAGTAAAAAAATATTACTAAATTTTTATTTTAATACAAGGAACGGATTTAACTATAGGTATATTTTGACAGGGTCCCATATAAAGTGGGATAAAACTTAGTATAGTATTATATGATCTGTGGACAAAACAAATACTATGGCTGCGAACTAAATGATTCTTGTGTACGAAGCTAAAAGCAAAAGTGTTATTTAAAAAAATATTACATATCTATCCTTGAAATTGTTAAGGAAAATGAATATTTTTTACACAATTTATACAATTTTCTAGTAACATTTTTTTCCTCGTAAAATGAATTATAAATAAAATTAATCAATAACAAATAGTTTCTTAACACTTTAATATTCTATATAATAAACCGCCGTTGATTTTTTATATTATTCAGATAGTCAATGTTTTGTAGACATGAACCTTCGCTTCGGTCATTTAGAAAAAATGATTTGTTCCAACTTAATTTACAAATATCATTATGGTGGCAAAAATATTATCCAAATATAAATTATAGCCTAGAACCTTTCCAGATAACCCTTCTTTTTATTAGTAAAAACCGCATGAAAATCTGTACAATTATAGTTTCTGAGGATAATCTGAACAAGCACAAACAAATTTTAATTTATGATATACTAGCATTACCCGCACCTCCGCCCGCGTTTAGATGACCAAATACCAAATTCTTAGGTTCTACATATAAGTATACTCTTACAGTGTAGTTTTGTATTTTTTCTCAGAAATGAGATATTTTCCCGCGGAAATAAGTATCTTTTATGTTGACCCGGATAACCAGCTATCACCATACCAAATTTCATCAAAATCCCTCCAGTGATATTTCTGTGATGCGGTTATAGACAGATAGACAGACAGACAGACAAAAATTCTAAAAACTATATATTCGGCCACTGTATCGATTATAAAGTTCATTTCAATGAGATTTCCAAAAAATATTTAATGTAAAGATTCGGCTTAGTTACAATTTTATTATATGTATAGATAGACTATAATAGTGAAATTATGTTCTATGTGACATTATTATCTATTAATGTGTTCGTAAAATTCTCTTTTATAATTTTTAAATTTACACATACATAATTGTCCTGTTTGCCTTGACTCATATGGCTTTAGAGTTGTTCAGTTAGGTGCTAGCTTATATACTAGGACGAAAGTCAACGCGTATATTTGAACAGGTTCCATATAAAAACTGTTATAGAGTAAATAATATGAGACGTGAGTTTATCAAAGATAATTTAGGATATTAGATAGCTTAAAAGAGGACTCTATTACTTGGAGCAGGTATATGAAATATACTACATTTACAACACAAACTACTTTGTGTTATGCAAAACGTTTTTCAACATCAAATCGTTAAAACATACCTAGGGAGAGACCAACCGAGCGAAGCGGACACGGACTGACGAAATCAAGAATGAACGAGTAATGTTGAGAATTGAGATGCCATCCCGTGATCTCTAATCGCGATCATATAGCTCTGATCGCGATCCAGATTGACTGTGGCTGCCTAAGGACGTATGTACCTAATCTTACCAAAACCTTATGTAACTCGATATTATATGTACATAATATGTATATACATATAGGTACTATGATCTATAAAACTAATTCTTATTGCGAAGTCGTGGATAATAAATGGTTGTTTATAATTGTTATAAATTACGATGACCTTATGTTTTACTTGTGTAGAATAATAATGCTCACAAAAGGATTGTATATAAAATTATCATCCCATACATCGACCACGTTGCTTCTAAGGCTATAGCCTTGAATATGTCACATATACACGTCTTAAATATTTCTTAAAGAATAAGAAAAACAAAGCAATTTGAAATAAATACTTTGAAAAAGAACAAAATGTTACGCGCCGCTAGTTTATTCGAAGACATCAAGTACGCCTTCATACAACCTCTGTGGTGTTCGTCTACGCAGGTGCCAAGCCCAGGCAGCGGGACGTATGATTTTCTGTTGTGTATATAAATTTTATTAATTACTGTCAATATAACGATTATATCAGGAAAAGTGTTTCATTGTTTTACAAAAAAATATTCAAGAAATAATATCTATTTAACTTTTAGTGCGTCAGTAGTTAACATTTATTGCTATTTAATTGT